CATCAGGTCTGACATCTACAGCTGCCAGTTGATCAACTTGTAGAATATTATTGCTTATCTGTGTCGGTGCCGATGGTCTACCTGCCATAATTACAAGTAGCTGCACAAATTATCAAAGAAATATTTCCACTTTATTCGCAACTTTTGCCGATAAGCAATCAATTATCTACGCAAGTGCACAAATTCGCAAAGAGCCTGTGACGAGGTGCATTCGGTGAGTCCAGAATTCCTTCTAAAAGCAACAACAACAAAAGTACACAAGTCCAACAGAAACCTTTACAAAGTGAAACAATGAGGTAACTGAACAGCAAACCCAAGCGATCTTCCTAGCAGCGATCAAAGTGTCTGACGAACCAAAAGTTTATCCCAGTGGAATTTTACGTTAGCTTAACAGCTGGACCAGGGAACGCATCTACGTTGAAGAATTATGCAATCTTCCAGTCGGACGGACAGAAGACATGACCATCTGAACTTGCGGACAGGCAGGTGGCTAATTACCACGGGTTAGAGTTGAGACGTAGCGGGCATTCTCAGACCAGCCGACAACTTTGATGTCCAGAGTTCAAACAGGATAGCGGGTCCAGTTGTCTAAGCAAGCGAATTTCACATATTAATGTGATACACGTAATCTACCTAGTGATGTCTAGTGATGCTACAACATACTCGTAATCACAAGGGCGGAACTTGGACAACAGGGTAGAACATTTACGGATGCCTGTGACCTGATTGATTCTATTATACTTTCATACTGTGCCAAAAGAGAAAATCTTACAATTTTTCGAAAATAAAAATTTCAAAAATGGAAATATTTGAACTACTGCATGTAAACAGTGAAAGTAGGTGCAAACATTACTGAAGCAATATATAAGTAACCTGCAGTCTTCATCTTTTATCATCTTACCAAAAGTATATCTATATCGATAAACGCCTTTTCCCTTCTCCCGAGGATACTCAGTCAGCTCAATATATTTCACGAGTCATTATTAGGCTGTATCTATTTAACCAGGGACTATTACAACCAACCAATAATCGACTTCCGTAACAATAATAACCACGTATTGATGCCCTTCCAAGTAATGACAAGTCACACACAAGACATTTTTTGTGGGTTCCAAGGAGAGAAAAAAAAATGGATCCACTGCCACCTGAAAAGAATGTTGTAAAAGGCAACTAATTAGGACTACTGAAATCAGATGTGTTGGAGCAAAAGGCGCAGATATCGCAACCTAGGACAAAAGGCGCAGATATAGCAGCGTATTTGTAAACCACAATACAATATGCCAACCGCCATTTCAAGGGCGAACCAAAAAAAAAAATGAGATTAGCTGCCCGTGACATGACCATTGAGCATTTCGCCGCCGCTGTCGCAGCCTAGCTGTTAACTACAAGACCGAGTGAAAGGCGCAATCGCAGCCTAGCTGTTAACCACAAGACCGAGCGAAGGGCGCAAATATCGCAGCCTAGTTGTAACCACAACACAACGTGCAAACCACCCTTTTAAAAGCCAAAAAATAAAATTTGTCGCGGCTATCGCAACCTATCTGTTAACCACAAGCTATCGCAACCTAGCTGTTAACCACAAGCTATCGCAACCTAGCTGTTAACCACAATACCGAGCGAAAGTCGCAGATATCGCAGCCTGGTTGTAAACCACAACACAACGTGAAAACCACCCTTTCAACCTAGCTGTTAACCACAATACCAAGCGAAAGGCACAGATATCGCAGCCCGGTTGTAAACAACAACGTGCAAACCACCCTAGACCGAGCGAAAGTCCCAGATTTTGCAGCCTAGTTGTTAACCACAGCACAACGTGCAAACCACCCTTTTAAAGAAAAGCCCGATCACCGGTAGCAGATATCGTAGCCTAGTTGTAACTACAAAACAACGTCTAAACCACCCTTTTAGAAGTAAAAAAAAAATTTGCGGCCGCTATCGCTAGCTGTTAACCACAAGACCGAGTAAAGGCGCAGATATCGCAGTCTAGTTGTTAACCACAACACAACGTGCAAACTACCCTTTTGAAGAAAAAAAAAGAAAAATGTTTTTGTCCGCCGGAGAATCGAACCCCGATCACCGGCGTAACAAGCAGACTGCTTATCAACTATACTAGCGAAGACTCGGTAATTTCGTTCAAACGAAATTATATAATAAAAGAAAGCATAGTTCGTAGTGTTCCTGTTCTTTTTAACTACATGACCTCTCAAGTCTCTAACTACGACCTCTTGAGGCCCTGAATGGGATTTTTTGTCTTTGAATAATAAGGGACCGTTATTCGGAAGAGTGCCGGGTTACGGTTAGTGTCGCCGCATCTCGTCTTCGCACAAACTCATAGTAGCAACCCAAACCCTAACCCTAACCCTAACCCAAACCCTAACCGTATGATGACAGTAGGGCACTGCACGCTGTCTATTGCCAACACACAGTAATTATGTCTTTTGTTTCGTTCCCTCTAGTCCACTCCGTAATGCGTCGCAAGAAGCAGTAATTGAACACAGTCGCTAATTTGAGTCGCAGCGTGGGGTCTGCCAGGCACGTTGGCCTCACTGTGTTTTTTGACTCGTGCCTTCTCCAGTCCGTAATTGCACTGCAGCCAGTGGACAGAACTCCGACTAACCGGCCGTCTACTGTTGTCTACCGGCCGTAGTTGAAAGGAGAGCCGCTGTGTTTAAGAAGAAAGTTTGGGGAATCAAAGCTAACTGGTGTTTAGTTGATGGACTTGTGAAAGTTTATAGTTTGCCGGTTTGAAAGAGAGGTGGTGGGAGTCACATAAATATTTTGCCTGGGCTGGGTAGCTGTGTTTGGGAATGAGAGGGTAGATAGGTTGGCTGGATTGGCTCCATTTTGGGGATGTGTTACAACTTTACAAGGCAGGGGTGATCTCTCAAGTCACTCAGAGGAAGTAGCACAGGTAAAATGGAAGCCTCATTATGTTGAAAACAAGAATAAACCCACTGGCTCCCCAAGCATGTCATAGGAGTCGACTATTTGGGGACTTCCTTTAAAGTTGGAGTAAATATGCCTGAGTGGCTGGCTAGGAATAACCCGCTGCACACAAATAAGTCAGTAAAACGGATGTACACGCAAAACTCAGGCCCTGGTTAAAAACCAAAGTCCAGATGGATGAACAGCCAGGACTTTCTGCCCCAGCTTTTAACAGCGGAACAAAGAAAAAGAAGAAGAAGAAAGAGAAGAATAAGGAAGGAAGGAAGGTACTGAAAATGCCTACCTGGAGACCGTGATGCAGTGGGAAGTGTCTGCTACCACCACCAAACTTAGCAAATAAATTACTGTTTTACTTCCCTTCGACCAAGACAGCTTTTGATGACAATTGGACTGACTGATGACAATGGGACTGACTGATGACAATTGGACTGACTGATGACAGTTTTGATTGACTGATGACAATTGGACTGACTGATGACAATGTTGATTGACTGATGACTATTTTGACATACTAAAGACTGTTTTGACTGATGCTGGTGACTTTTTTGACTATTACTGATGATAATTTTGACTGACTGATGACATGTTTGACTGACTGATGACTTTTTTGACCAACTGAAGACTGTTTTGACTGACACTGATGACTTTTTTGGCTGACTGATGATTATTTTGACTGACTTATGACTATTTTGACTAGCTACTTCAGTCAAATTTTTAAAATGCCCTCTACACCAATAAAACCAGCACAGTTAGATAGCTGTAAACAATCTCTTTCCAATGGTACCTCATTTAGGCTTGTATGTCATTTCTTAGCTGAGATATGTAGGTTTTTGTGGAGATGAGATGTAAGAAAAAGCTGCTAAAACTTGTGACCCAGAAACAAGAAGTTTTTCTCTGCGCAACCTACTGCGCAGTTCTGTATCGGCTTTGTTGACATTGGACTGTTATTGGACAAGATGGCAGGCAATGAGACTCAGCCACTGGCCGAGCCAGCGATTGCCTGAAAAATGTCACTGTACATGTACCAAGCCACCGTTCAGAAAGAAATTTTATACACAAATGTAAAATTGGACAGAGAATTCAATTATAACTAGAATTACCAGGACGAGCAACAGTTAAAGCCTAAAGCCAACATGAAAAACTTATCGCTATTTTCAATCAAACTGATGTAACAGAAAAACAGAGGACGTCCGGCTGTCGTAGACATGCGCTGTTAATCGGGTTCCTTCCCGCTGTTTTCAGCCATTTAGAGTGGGTGAAAATCACACCAATCGCAAAATTTAATGAGAGATTAGGACCCATCCCAAAACCTCAGCCAACATTTCCGAAACAAGTTTCAAACGGTTTCCATGGTAACGGAAATTGTCGAAAAGATCGCAAATTTCCGAAACTGTAGTCGCTAATTTTGACCAACTGAAGACTGTTTTGACTGACACCGATGACTATTTTGACTGTCACTGGTGACAGCTTTGACTGACTGATGACAATATTGACTGACTATTTTCACTAACTGCAGACTGTTTTAACTGACACTGATGACTATTTTGACTGTCACTGTTGACTATTTTGACCAACTGCAGACTGTTTTAACTGACCCTGATGACTTTTTTGACTGTCACTGTTGACTATTTTGACCAACTGCAGACTGTTTTAACTGACCCTGATGACTATTTTGACTGTCACTGTTGACTATTTTGACCAACTGCAGACTGTTAACTGACACTGATGACTATTTTGACTGTCACTGTTGACTATTTTGACCAACTGCAGACTGTTAACTGCCACTGATGACTGTTTTGACTGTTACTGATTACAATTTTGACTGACTGATTTTCACTGCCACTGATGACTGTTTTGAATGACTGATGACAATTTCAACTGACTGAAGACTATTTTGACTAGCATGCATTATTATTTAGACTGCCACTGAAGGCAATTTTGACAGACTGATGACAATTTTGACTGAATGAACACTATTTTGACTGACACAGATGATTGTTCCGACTGCCACTATGACTATTTTGTCTGACATTATATATTTTTTCCATAGGATCATGTCAGAAGAGGAGGAGTTAGTGTACGAGGTGCATGAGATTGTAGTGCAGAAGATCGGCCATGTCCCTGTGGCCAAGGGGGACTTTAACCATCTTCCAAGGAAAGTGAAAACTTTTGTCGCCCACTGTGTAAGTAGAATTATTTGTATGTGTTCTCTTCTCATCTTTCTTATTAGTCATGCACTTCCCCATATGGGTTTCTCCGTTCTCATTTTGGCTGGAAAAAAAAAAGATCTGCTGCTCCAACAGGCATGGTGCAGAAGATGACTAATTAGGGATATTTTCTTTGAAGTGGGGGGTGCATCTGCTTGAAAGACGGGGACTCACCTTCTGCTTACAAATAAGCCAAATTATAAACTCCAGCAGAAATTCTGGCTTGTTTGTCCACATCTGGACCTTGGTTTTCTTCCAGGACCTGAGTTATGTGTGTGCATCTGTTTTACAGATCTGTCTTATTTGTATGCAGACTGTTGGTTCATTGCCTCTCGGGCAGATGCACTCCAGCTTCACAGGAAATGCCCCTAATTAGTTGACTATTATGTCATGGTTTTTTTTTTACATATGATTTTATCATTGTTTAAATACAGTTTTATCAGTGAATGTTATTTTCATTTATTGTTTTTTCTGTTTTCTTTTTAAAATTCAGAAACATATTTTTAATCTCACACTTTAAAAAACTCAAGAAAATATATATCCTTGTAGGTCCAACTGTGTAAACCTCGAGGTATTTACATCTGTGATGGCGACCAGGCGGAGGCTGATGAGATTATTCACAAACTTCTGGAGAGGGGCACGTTGACGAGGCTGACAAAATATCAGAATAAGTAAGGATGAAAGCAGGGGGTTCTTCTTCTTCTTCCTCCTCCTCCTCCTCCTTTTTCTTCTACTTAGCATCTACCAGCTGTAAACTCTGGTGGAAAGTTCTAGCTATTCCATAACTGATGCGCAATCATTTTACAGATATCTCTTTTTTGTATGCCGACTGTAGGTTTCTTGCCTCTCAGTCAGATGCGCTCTGTCTTCAGAGAAAACCCTTAATTAGAGATGCAGAGACCCCCCCCCCCCAAAAAAAAAAAACAGATCTGCACGTCAAGCACAAGTTTTGGAACAAGATCAATGGCCAGAAGTGGACGAACAGCCAGAACTTTCCACCAAAGTTTACAGCCTGTGATTGCTAAGAAGAAAGCAAAAAGGAGATTATTTTCAGCATTCACTTGACAGCAGACCCCTATTTTAAGACTGCTCGGTTCATCCCAGAATACTACATGTGAGATACGGTCATTAATTCTGAATCTATTCTGTTATTGATTTTCCGCCATGCTGCTACCTTAGAGTTATCAACAAATTTCCTCTGCCTCTGTCTCTTTTGTGCTTCTGATCCCATTTGTCACAGTGCTCAGCAAAAAACCATTTAATCTCATCGTATATTTGTAGACAAACCATTTTCAATGCTTACTTGGACAGTAGAGTTCACTTACTCAGTGGCATTATATTCCTGCAGCTACCTGTGCCGCACAGATCCCGCAGACGTAGCCCGAGTGGAGTCAAAGACATTCATTGTGACAGAAAATAAATACGATTCAGTGCCACATGTCCGTGAAGGGGTCAGCGGAACCCTCGGAGCATGGTTGAGTCCTGAAGATACGAAAGAGGAACTTGACCAGCGATTCCCAGGATGCATGGCAGGTTCGTTTTCTGTTCATTTCACCTGTCAGTTTTGTCAGACTTTAGTAGTCAGCGGACATGATGTTGACCTCATGGGACCATTAGATTTGGCACATCTGATAGCTGTCTTCTGCATTTTTACTTTGCATGTGCAAGCTTCAAGATTCGGCTCAGACTGACAAGTTTTTCACTATTTTCAAATAGGGTAGTATGATTTCCACTGACATAGGAATGGAATGGTTGTGGGCCAGTGATATTAGGACCTCAAATAACTAACTCATTGAGTGCTTGTTTTTCATCTTCACTGTTTATTCTATACTAGACACAAGTTCACTGTCTGACGTGGTTTGTCTGTTTGTTATTCGACCTATTCTTCTTCTTCAGTATTCTGGGTCCCTGAGATTCATTGCTTCAGATATCACTTGCTTCCATTTGTCTGCGTGATTTGCTTTTTTTTTTATTTTACCTAGTTTTGTTTAACCCTTTCGCTGCTTCATACTCCTCAGCCATCACTACTGTGCTAAACTTGTTCCTGCTAATCTAATATGCTGAATACTTTTCTACCCTCCAAATGCAAAAGATGAGTCTGTGGTTAGGGCTATATTTTGTGCACCTAAACTATGAACCTCTTTTAACTACAGTGAACTGGCAATAAATGCAATGGTATGGACATGTAATAAGATCTAACGGCCTCTTAAAAACAACACTGCAGGGCTCAGTAGAGGGAAGGAGGATAAGAGGCAGACCAAAAAAGACTTGGTTACAGAACCTGACTGACTGGACAGACCTCAGGCATGCAACCATGAAGTTCATCGCTACTGACCGCTAAAGGTGGAGAGAGATGATCAGACAGGGGTTTAGGGCATCAGTCATAATTCTTTCTAAAAAGATGTTAAACAGTGTTGGAGAGAGGAGGCAGCCCTGCCGGACTCCTATTATTTGGAACCAGCTTCCTTTTTGTCCCTTCAGCACAGCACTGCTGGCCTTGGCATGGAGATGTTCTATAGTATGTATGAGGGTTTTACCCATGTGGTACTTTTTCATAGTGTCCCAGAGTGCTACATGTCATACTCTATCAAAGGCCTTTTTGAAATCAATGAACACAAGGTATAGATGTTTTTGGTGCTTGTGGTATTGCTCAGATAATATACGTAGATTAAATATCTGTAATAGTGCTTCTTCCAGCCTGGAAACCCGCCTGTTCCTCTGCTATGATCTTTTCTATATGTGGCTTTAAACTTGAGCATGACTTTACTGGGATGACTGGTGAGACTTATAATTCTATAATTTTGACATTGTTGTAAAATCCCCATTACTTTACATTTAAGATATTTTACATTATAACACTTTACATTACTTTAGTTAACCTTACCAACTTAATGTCAAAGCATTACTTTGCTTTACACTACTTGACTTCCACAGGACGCATGATGTATATCATCCCCTTCAGTATGGGCCCAGTTGGATCTCCCCTCAGTAAAATTGGTGTGCAGGTCACGGACTCTAACTATGTGCTGCTCTGCATGCGCACCATGACCCGGGTGACTCCGAGAGTGTGGGAAGTGCTTGGGGATTCCGACTTTGTCAAGTGTATTCACTCTTTGGGCTGTCCACGGCCAGTACAGAGTAAGTAACAACAGTGTTATTTATTTGATTCCATATCAGGTACAGAGTAAGCAACGACAGTGTTATTTATTAGATTTCATGGCCTGTAGAGAGTAAGTAGTGACAGTGTTATTTATTCTAATATTACAACTATCTCACAGCTGGTGCACATATCTTTTTAATATTACAACTATCTCACAGCTGGTGCACATATCTTTCTAATATTACAACTATCTCACAGTTGGTGCACATATCATTCTAATATTACAACTATCTCACAGCTGGTGCACATATCTTTCTAATATTACAACTATCTCACAGCTGGTGCACATATCTTTCTAATATTACAACTATCTCACAGCTGGTGCACATATCTTTCTAATATTACAACTATCTCACAGTTGGTGCACATATCGTTCTAATATTACAACTATCTCACAGCTGGTGCACATATCTTTCTAATATTACAACTATCTCACAGCTGGTGCACATATCTTTCTATTATTACAACTGTCTCACAGCTGGTGCACATATCTTTCTAATATTACAACTATCTCACAGCTGGTGCACAAATCTTTCTAATATTACAACTGTCTCACAGCTGGTGCACAAATCTTTCTAATATTGCTAACAGGATCTTATTGTGTTCCAGGACGTGTGAAGAACCATTGGCCCTGCAACCCGGAGAAGGTGATGATTGTCCACTTTCCTGAGCAACGGAAGATCAAATCTTTCGGCAGTGGATACGGAGGGAACTCCCTTCTGGGGAAGAAGTGTTTTGCCCTTCGTATTGCCAGCGTCATTGCGAGGGATGAAGGTTGGATGGCTGAACATATGTTGGTAGGTAGGGATGCTTCCTGAGAAGTTCTTCTTTTCTGTACATCCTGTTCTACCTTTCAGCTTCAGGGTTGAGCTAGGAACTGACATCACAACAATGCAGGACATTCCCATAAGTGCCCCGTCATCTTCAGCAGCCACAGGAGATTTCCAGTTCTGGTGGCAATTTCTACCTTTCAGCTTCAGGGTTGAGCTAAGAACTGACATTGCAACACTCTGGAGATTCCCATAAGCACTCCGTCTTCATCTTCAGCAGCCAGCGAAGACTTCCAGTTCCAGTGGGGCCAGTAGCAATTTGATTGAATGTCCGACTTGCTTTTTCTCTGAGTGTAGAGTGTTGACCGGATTCCCCTAGTCACTCCCAGCTGTACCAATCTCTCCTAACCATAATGATGCGATTCATGGCTCAGCATTGTTCACTTGCTTCAGGGTTTGAAAAGACACCTTTGCAAGCCTTGGTAGGTGCTACCTAGATACTGGTATTGACAGTCTCGAATGTTCCATCTGTCCGTCATTTAGAAAGCTCTGCCCTAAATCTGTGTGTGGTTTTGGTCTTCATATGTATCTGGCACTGTCAGATTGAGGCCTGATAACGTAGTATTCACGTACTTAGAAATGGAAACAAGGTTGACTACTCGTTGACTTGTGACCCAGTTCTGTTTCTACTAACAGATAAAAAGTGGAACTGGCCAAAAGTCTAATTAATATTTTTCAATACTATTTTCATTCAAACAAACTGTGCAATTCTTTAAATAAAACACAACAATTCAACCTGTATACATAAAAATTTTGTACATGATGTGAAAACAGATAATATGTGCTATACTTGCATCAGTTCTGGGAAACTCTTGTTTTACCCTACCACTGTACTATTTTTGTTTATTTGTATTTGTGTGTGTGTGTGTGCGTGCATGCGTGCGCGCGTGCGCATGTCTCTCTCTCTCTCTCTCTCCCCCCCCTCTCTCTCTCTCCCTCTCTCTCTCTCCCTCTCTCTCTCCCTCTCTCTCTCCCTCTCTCTCTCTCTCTCTCTCCCTCTCTCTCTCTCTCTCTCCTCTCTCTCTCTCTCTCTCTCTCTCTCTCTCTCTCTCTCTCTCTCTCTCTCTCTCTCTCTCTCTCTCTCTCTCTCTCTCTCTCTCTCTCTCTCTCTCTCTCTCTCTCTCTCTCTCTCTCTCTCTCTCTCTCTCTCTCTCTCTCTCTCTCTCTCTCTCTCTCTCTCTCTCTCTCTCTCTCTCTCTCTCTCTCTCTCTCTCTCTCTCTCTCTCTCTCTCTCTCTCATAAATGTGGTTAGTTGTAATTCATGGAGGAAAGTGTGCATTGTAGCCAACTTCCATTATGAAAAGGGCAGATTTTTTGTTTTAGCAGTTACCTAGCAACAGTGCAGCCAATCTCTATAGTCGAAAAGGCACTTTTTGTTTTGTTTGCCGTTACCTAGCAACTGTTTGATTGTTACAGATCATGAGCATCACCACACCGAAGAACAAAGAGTTCTTTGTGGCAGCAGCTTTCCCCAGTGCTTGCGGCAAGACCAACCTGGCCATGTTGAACCCCAGCCTACCAGGTTTTAGGATCCAGTGCGTAGGTGGGTTGGTCGTTCATCATTGTTATTATTACTGCTATTATCATCATCATTATGGTTTTTATTATCATCCTCTCAACCCTGTTGAACCATTACATGTCACATAAGGCTCACAGTCTGTTCCTTCATTCCGTTCTGTCCAGGGCTGTTCTTTCCATATCATGGATGGAGCAACTTTTCAATAACAAGTTTACACCAGCAACTTTCCTGTGGCTACATTTCATCAACTATCCTATGGCTCTACTACATTAACTTTCCTGTGGTTATATTATATCATCTTTAAGTAAAGTAAAAAAAGGTTCCTTGTCCCTGCCTTTAGGCGTAATGTGAATATAGGGCTAGACTTGTGTTTGTTAGACCAATCGGCACTTGGTGGTTGATGTGGTGAGCATCACACTGGCCACCTTTACTTCCCACGACTGCACCTGGTACCCACTCAAGGCTGAGTCGACCTGGGATTTAAGGTAGTTATTAAAGAAGTCCGGCTCCTTTAGGATGTGAACCCACAACCTTCCGATCTGCAGGCAGGCATCTAGCCGCTAATGCAGCTGTGACTCCCCTTAAATCACTTTTACTGTAACTAAATTGCATAAAATTTCCCTTGACTATATTGCCCCAGCTTTTCCATGGCTGTATTAAATCAACTTTTCCATTACTGTATTACATCAACTTTCCTGTAGCTATATTAAATAAACTTTCTAATGATTATATTACATCAGCTTTCTTGTGACTATATTACATCAGCTTTCCTGTGACTATTTACATAAACATTCCCTTGACTATATTACATCAGCTTTCCCTTGACCATATTGCATTAGCTTTCCCATGATCATATAACATCAACTTTCCCATGACTATACTACGCCAACTTTCCCATTACTGTTTTATGTGAGCAACCTTTGTGTGACTATCCCCCTCAGGAGATGACATTGCTTGGATGAAGTTTGACGACAGTGGGGTCCTGCACGGGATCAACCCTGAAGCTGGCTTCTTTGGGGTGGCTCCAGGAACCAACATGAAGACCAACCCTAATGCCATGCTGTCCTTCCAGGCCAACAGCATCTTTACCAATGTTGCAGAAACTGCTGACGGTGGCTACTTCTGGGAGGGGCTCGAAGACGAGACCCCTAAGGTATGTACTTGTATGATAAAGGTTAGAGTCGAGAGGATCGACTTCATTGCACCAGGTTTTATCCTGTATGGCTCAGTTTCTCTCAACAGACCAGTTAGCCGCCTGCTGAGAGCACCACACTAAGCACAAACTCTGTAGCTTCAGCAATGATCCCCCAGGGTTCTGTAAAAACTGCACTCGTGAACCAAATGGCGCAACCATGAAAGGAACCCACGACCTTCAGAGTGTGAGGCAGACGGCTTGACCACCTCGCCATGAAGACCTCCTACTTGTATGACTTACGATTTAAGTTGACGGTGGAAACTTCTGGCAGGGGCTTGATGATAAAAGTGAGGTATGTAAGTGAAAACCTACAATATAACGTAAAGATATCAAACTAGGTAAAAAGTAGAGCCAGTCAGCTTAACATTATCACAAACACAAACAACAAATGAACGCTGCAGCTAAAGAGCCTTCATCAGAACAATACAAGAATATTCAAAAACCACGAACATAAAACAAGAATACACAAAAATCACTTAACTGAAATGTCTCTCAGACAAATCACATCACTGTCTGGCTGGCCTGTTTTAATCTCTGACACATGGAAAAGTAAAGGACTCTTTTCACACCGATAGGGCATATCGGTGATATGATTCTGCAATCAGGTTTGTGTTAACCTTTCGGCACTCAGTGAATGATGTCCAGTGTATGTAGTCATATGTTTTAATACCAGTGATAGCGGAGATATCCATGGCTTTTCTTATCATTGGGGCATTGGAAATGGCACCATTGGGGCATTGGATATGGCACCATTGGGGCATTGAATAAGGCACCATTGGGGCATTGGATATGGCACCATTGGGGCATTGGATATGGCACCATTGGGGCATTGGATATGGCACCATTGGGGCATTGGATATGGCACCATTGGGGCATTGAATAAGGCACCATTGGGGCATTGGATATGGCACCATTGGGGCATTGGATATGGCACCATTGGGGCATTGGATATGGCACCATTGGGGCATTGGATATGACATCATTGGGGCATTGGATATGGCACCATTGGGGCATTGGATATGGCACCATTGGGGCATTGGATATGGCACCATTGGGGCATTGGATATGACATCATTGGGGCATTGGATATGGCACCATTGGGGCATTGGATATGACATCATTGGGGCATTGGATATGACATCATTGGAGCAATGGATATGGGATCATTGTGGCATTGGATATGGCACCATTGGGGCATTGAATATGGCACCATTGGGGCATTGGATATGACATCATTGGAGCAATGGATATGGGATCATTGTGGCATTGGATATGGCATCATTGGGGCATTGGAAATGGCATCATTGGGGCATTGGATATGGCTTTGGATCCAGAGCATTTTCTTCTGCATCCATCCTCAAAATGCCAACCGGGTAAACCTGGGATCTCTTTACTGCACGTAAAAAGCATGTATGTAGCATATGTTCTGTATTCTGTGGTGCCTGCCCACTTGGGCAAAGTTCTGAATCCCCAATCTTGGATTGCTTGTACACATGGCTGCAGAGTTTTTTGTGTCCACATGGACAAAGTTCTGAATCCCCCAATCTTGGATTGCTTGTACACATGGCTGCAGAGTTTGTTGTGTCCACATGGACAAAGTTCTGAATCCCCCAATCTTGGATTGCTTGTACACATGGCTGCAGAGTTTGTTGTGTCCACATGGACAAAGTTCTGAATCCCCCAATCTTGGATTGCTTGTACACATGGCTGCAGAGTTTGTTGTGTCCACATGGACAAAGTTCTGAATCCCCCAATCTTGGATTGCTTGTACACATGGCTGCAGAGTTTATTGTGTCCACATGGACAAAGTTCTGAATCCCCCAATCTTGGATTGCTTGTACACATGGCTGCAGAGTTTGTTGTGTCCACATGGACAAAGTTCTGAATCCCCCAATCTTGGATTGCTTGTACACATGGCTGCAGAGTTTGTTGTGTCCACATGGACAAAGTTCTGAATCCCCCAATCTTGGATTTCTTGTACACATGGCTGCAGAGTTTGTTGTGTCCATATGGAATCTAAATATAGTGGTCTGTTTCTTTTGTCTGAGGAGGTTTATTGGGTCTTCCGGAGTGTGTCCTGGATGGGATGTGGTCCAACCGGTTCTAAACTCAAATCAAGTACTATACATCATAATCGGGTACCAGGTCCTTTACAGAACATCTTTTCCCCCTAAAGCCTGCCGCAAAGAAGCTAAGTCTCTCGCCAACTATCCTGCCTGTCTACTTTCATGCCTATGGTGTTATTTTTATCCTGTTTAGTGTTATCTGTATTCTGTACCCAGCTTCATGTTAGTCAGCCCCTCCCCCTCTTTCATAGTACAAAGCCCTCAGCTCCTATTCTTTCAGGTCCACAATTAGTACTCCACACTAGAATGTTTTGATCAAGATGGCGAGGCAAGGGAATGTTTATTTTTCAGCCAGCATCTAACCAACATCAGTTTCAGACATCCTAGAGTGGAAGTTGTGTTAAACTAGTCTGAATGTGATAGTCTGGTTCAAGTGTGACCTTCTAGGAAGTTTGAAAACACTGTGACTGGTTTAGGAAATCCAAAGTGGCTTACTTAGTGCTCATAGAAAATTGAAGAGATCTCATGAACCCATCAGAGACACTGAAAAGTCCTTTACACAAAGCAGACAGAAAAGCCGGTTCCAAAGATGAGATGTTTGAATTCTGCAATAATAAAAAATGTTTTTTAAACCATGTCTAGGGTATTGGCATCATTGATTGGCTGGGAAACCCCTGGCATCCTGGCTGTGTTGGCAAGGCAGCTCATCCCAACTCCCGCTTCACCGCACCAGCATCCCAGTGTCCCATCATCCATCCCAAGTGGGAGGACCCCAAGGGAGTGCCAATCAGTGCTCTCATCTTTGGTGGCCGTCGTCCAGTTGGTCAGTTCATTTTTTTAGATTTTATTTTATAAAAGCTCAGATTGTTGCTTGCTGACTGCAGCTTTCTGTGTGTCTTGTGAAAGGTGCTCATTTTTTCTTTCTTGTCTTATTATTTCTTCTTCTTCTTTCTTCTTCTTCTTACTTGTCTTATTTTTTCTTCTTCTTCTTCTTTTTCTTCTTCTTCTTCTTCTTCTTCTTCTTCTTCTTCTCCCTCTACCTCTTCTCCCTCTTCTTCCTCTCTTTTCTTCTTCTTTATCTTTTTTCCTCCTCCTCCGTTTCTTCTTTCGACTTCTTCTTCTTCTTCTTCTTCTTCTTCTTCTTCTTTTTCTTTTTAATCTACATTCTTTGTGCCTCTTCTTGTATAATTGGATTTCATTTATTCCAGAACTGACATCATCGCACTCGTAGCATTCCTATAAGTGCTCTATTCCCATCTTCAGCAGCCACAGCAGAGTTCTAGCACCAATGTTGCCAGTAAATCTGATTATACATCCATCCTGCCTTTCGTCTGAATGTCGAGTATTGGATAGATCCCCTCATCACTCCTCGCTGCATCACTCTCTCCAGACTACAATAATCAGTTTGCTGTTCCAGATTGCACACATGCCCCCGTAAGGCCTTAACTACATCTGCCTTTTCATGTATATGAGTATTCCACCAAGTTGTGCAGAGCCAACCTGTCTGTCCGCCTGTTCATTTCCCAGCACACCGGCATGACCCAGAGAAAAGATCCAGACAATGCTCCTCACCCTTAACATCGGAAGTGAAGCATGCCACTCTGCATGAAGTATTTCTGTGTGTCTTGTAAAAGGTGCTCATTCTTCTTCCTTGTCTTACTCTTTCTTCTTCTTCTTTTTCTTCTTCTTCTTCTTCTTCTTCTTTTTCTTCTTCTTCTTTTTCTTCTTCTTCTTCTCCTCCTCCTTCTTCTCCTCACCCTTAACATCGGAAGTGAAGCATGCCACTCTGCATGAAGTATTTCTTCTTTTATTTCTTTGTCTTTGTCTTTGTCAGAAATCTTCTGTAAAGTCACATCTTTGAAACAAAAGTGTTTTTTTCTTTTCTTTTTTAATAGTTGTCCATTAATACAACACGATATGTTGTGTCTACATGCTTCACGCAATCTCGCACTATTGCTAAGTCTGTAAAGTATAAGTACAGTTGTTTTTACTTCTGTAGTTCCCTGTGTGGGTTCCAAGGCCCTTTAACAAACATGTCATAAAAAACAATTATTTAGGAAGTTGAGGTGCATTGCCTGAGAACAAAAGACCCAGCAATCAGCACACAAATAAGCCAGATCTGTGCAGCAGATGTGCACACAAAACTCAAGTTCTGGTACAAGACCAGCAGTGGGGGGACAACCAGAACCTTCCGCTGTAGTTTACAGCCACTGAAACTCTTCAGAAGAAGAAAATGAGGGCTATCATAGCTGTTGTTGACCTTATCCGTGCAGCCATCTCTCTGATTTATGTCCTCATTGTTCTCACAGGTGTGCCACTTGTGTTCGAGTCGAAGAGCTGGGCTCATGGAGTTCTGATCGGAGCTTGTGTCAAGTCAGAGGCTACAGCAGCTGCCGAACACCAAGGTCAGGATGTTTTCTTCAACTTACGACCTGTGCGACTTATGACCATCTCTACTTACAACCACAAAAACCAAAATAAGAGTAGTTAGTTTAAAAATAAAAACAAAATACAGTTGTTTTCAATAACTGCAGTTGTAGGGTCAAAAAAGTAAAATAGTTCCCAGGTCAACCTAATCTGAGTAGGTAGCAGGTGCAGTTATTGGAAGTAAAAGCGGCTGGCATAATGCTGACCACATCACCAACCAAGTGCTAATTGGTCTATAAAACTTAGATCTAGCCTTATGTGCCTAACACGCCTGAAGGTGAGGTAAAGAGTCCTGTGTGTTGTTTAATTTTTTTTTTTTTTTAAATTTACTAGAAGAGATAGGCAGATCTACACACATTTGGAGTCCCCACCTGGAAAAATGTCTGGTTTGGTAGCTTTTCCCCCTCCCGGTCTGCAGTGTGTAGGATTAACACCCCAAGGATGAGAATCACACAGCCACACATCTTGGAAACCCTGTTCGGCCATATAAAACAGCTATATTGGGTCCTTGATGGAAACTGAGAAACTTGAGGCCCGGACCGGTTGGTGAGTGCTAGTGATGTAAAACTGGATAGAGAAGGCCAGTCACAAAGGTGAATGGAGGAGAGGAATGTCTGCAGCAATAAACCTCAAGAGCTTGGAATGCTGAAGAAGAAGGAAAAGGTAGTACTAGGAACATCTAGCCGCTGCTTTGTGTATTTTACTGTAAATGCCTGTTTCTGAATTTTGTCAAGTCTGATAGTTTGTTCACTAGTTTTTTTAGAAGGTACAGTGATGTTTGTTTTTTATTTTCTTATTTCTCACTAGTACAGGTACAAAGCAGTTACGGAGTGACCTTTCTAGTGAAGGTTCAAACCTTGACTACGATTACCACCTCTGTCTGTGTCATCATTATATAATATCTGGCCAACTGGTGTGAGCAGCTCTGCTTCTTAGCTTCTAGGAATTCACCAACAGATTGTATGTATCCCAGTTGTTAGAGGCAGAGCCATTCTTCTTTCTCTTCTTCTTCACTTTCTCTTTTACAGCTTGAGGTGCCGAGGTAGATATAAAGTTCTCCATGTTGCTGTTCTGGCTGCTTTAACTATAGACACATCGTGCTGTTGTAAAGTTTCTCTGATATTATCTTTCCATCTTGTTCTTCATTTGCCTCATGCTCCTTGTCCATCTATTTTCTGGTGTATGCCTTGTATGGTATGGCGTCACAGGGCATTCTCTTTAAGTGGTCAGACCATTTGATTTTCTGTGTTTGTATGTGATTTAGAATTGGTTCTGTGCCGACTTTTTCTCTTATGACCTTATTTCTGTTTTATCTCTTCTGGTTACTTCTGCAGCCTTTCTCTGACATCTCATTTCCATGGTTACTAATTTTCTTTAGTTGGGAGGGACCATGATTGGCACTGGTAGCATAGGATTGGAATGAATAGATGAGTATGCTTTGAATGAGATGTTTCTTTGTGCTGAGTGGGATTGTTTTGTGTTGTAAAAGGGGAGCTAGCTGTCCCAATCCTTGGTTTGCTTTACTGCATCGGATGTTATTTCTTCATCTATTTTCCTATCTTTGGTGAATGTTGTTCCCAGATATTTAAACTCAGAAGCCTGTTTAATGCCTTTGCACTCTCCTGTTATATTTTGGTTCCACTTCTTTCTTCCGGTTGACATTAGTTGTGTCTTTCCTGTGTTGCTTCTCATATTATTTGTTTACAATGATGCGTGTTTGCACAGTCGATAAGAGACTCACTTTCTAATCCAGCTGCAACTGACTGCAGCCCCACAGCTGGTGTTCAAAACAGGACGGCTCCTGGAGTTCACCCAGCCTCTAGGTAATGGGTACCAGGGTTAACACTCTGGGGTTAATGGAGAAATTTGCTGTATCTACGCAGTTGTGCGCGGACGGTGACACAGGCGGAAATTTTCTTATCAGCTGTCTGTACTGGGGGCAGAGCACTTATGGTTTACAACCGGGTGCAATAACACTGGTTCACATCTCCGGACTTTACCTTTACCGTATTTGATTACATTCTTCATTCATGGTTGAAAGATGTTGTTGCAGTTTCATGGCTATATCTGCTGTCAAGGCCTGGTCATCAGCAAAGAGTAATTTGTTGATGTTACTGATATTTTCATTTTTGGGCTTGGTATCATTGCTTATACTGCCGATGAAGGTGATAAACAGCAGTGGGGATAAGACACCTCCCTGCCTTACCCCAGATGCTACTGTGAATGGTTTAGATGTTCCCTGATTTATTCTGACTACGCTTCTACAGTCCTTATATGAACTTCTGCACTCTGATCAAATGTTATCCTAATGCATGTTGAGCCATTACTTTCCATAATACTTGTCTAGTGACTGTCAAATGTCATGTCCTGGTCTATGAATGACACAAATAGGTTCTTATTGTATTTGATGTTCTTTTCTATTCATTGTTGAAGTGTGAAGATTGCATCTGTGCAGCTTCTAGTGCTCCTGTATCACATCATTGATTATATTTGATGTTCTGTTCTGTTCATTGTTGAAGTGTGAAGATTGCCTCTGTGCAGCTTCTAGTGCTCCTGTATCACATCATTGATTATATTTGATTTAAACTCCCAGTTTGATTCCAGCTGCAGGCCCTTGGTTACAATGGTATGAAATGCTGACCATTTAGAAAACAATGGCAAACTTCTTCTTATAGACCATGCCTTGTGGTGTTGTTTAGTCATGTCTGAAGACCTTCTGAAGACAGAAGACCTTCTGTCTCGTCAGTTCTGACACAGATGATCTTCTATGCCATGATGTCAGACTGTTCAGCTTCTTCTTTCTCTTGGTCTGCCTCTGCTCTCTTCCCCTTAAACATTCCCACCATTTTGATAGTACTTCAGTTTTCTCCTTCTCGTCTTTTTCTTCTTGTTCTTCACATTCACCAGTTGTAAACTCTGGCAGAAAGCTCTACATGTTTCCCACCTCCCAACTTTAGTCTTGTTCCAGAATCTGAGTGCTGTGTACACATCCGTTTGCTCCATCTGATTCGTATGCAGATTGTGGTTCCTTGCCTCCCAGGGGAATGAACTCCAACTTTGAAGGAAGCTCCCAGTTGGTCAGCTCCTACATGCTTGTTGGGGAGGCAGTGGGTCTAGTCTTGTTTTTCCCACAGTGGGGCCTCAGAACCCACACGGGGATCTCCTTCTCATGACATGACCAAAGAATGTAGAATGGTAAACTACTGGGCATAAAATTGCCTAATACAATCACAAATAATCCACACAAAATGCTACGGTTGGTACTGCATCGTCCTGTAATGGATACGCAACTGACATATACGTCTTTAAACAGGCAAGAATATCATGCACGACCCCATGGCCATGAGACCGTTCATGGGCTACAACTTTGGCCATTACCTGCAGCACTGGCTTGATCTGGAGAAACCTGATCGCCAGGTAGGCATTTGTTTTAAATTATTGTAAAATATGGTTATATGTCTTCTTCTCCTTCTTCTTCTTCTTCTTCACCTTCACAGGCTGTAAACTCTGGCAAAATGTTCTGGTTGTTTGTTTTGCCCACTTGAGTTTTGTGTCAGTTATAAAAATCGTCCTCAATGCATAGTCGAAACCAAGACCTTCGGTTGGCAGCCAAGCTTCTAGCCACTGCACCACCGAGGACAATAGGTTGCTGGTACTTCTCCGTTTTTTCTGATGATAGTGTTATGTTGTGCTGTAGGAAGACGTGGGACTCATAGCCCATGACGATGACGAGTGTGACTAGCAAGACCCGCCCATGATAAGAAAAGTCTTCCACATTTATAGCCTGGGATTTCAGGATTGTTTTTGCATTTCTATGTATTTAGTTTACTTTATCTCAGACGCTCAGCTCTCAACCATAAGTGCTCTGCCCCCAGTACAGAAAGCTGACAAGAAACTCTCCGCCTGTGTCACCGTCCGCACACAACTGCGTAGATACAGCGACATTTCTCCATTTACCCCAGAGTGTTGACCCTGGTACCCATTACCTAGAGGCTGGGTGAACTCCAGGAGCCGTCTTGTTTCGAACACCAGCTGTGGGCTGCAGTCAGTCGCAGCTGGATTAGAAAGGGAGTCTCTTATCAAATGTGCTAACACGCATCATTGTAAACAAATAATATGAGAAGCAACACAGAAAAGACAACTAATGTCAACCGGAAGAAAGAAGTGGAACCAAAATATAACAGGAGAGTGCAAAGGCATTAAACAGGCATCTGAGTTTAAATATCTGGGAACAACATTCACCAAAGATAGGAAAATAGATGAAGAAATAACTTCCGATGCAGTAAAGCAAACCAAGGATTGGGACAGCTAGCTCCCTTAACAACAAAACAATCCCACTCAGCACAAAGAAACATCTCATACAAAGCATATTTATCTTTTCATTCCAATCCTGTGCTACCAGTGCCAATCATGGTCCCTCTCAACTAAAGAAAATTAGTAACCATGGAAATGAGATGTCAGAGAAAGGCTGCAGAAGTAACCAGAAGAGATAAAACAGAAATAAGGTCATAAGAGAAAAAGTCGGCACAGAACCAATTCTAAATCACATACAAACACAGAAAATCAAATGGTCTGACCACTTAGAGAGAATGCCCTGTGACGCCAAACCATACAAGGCATACACCAAAAAAGAGATGGACAAAGAGCATGAGGCAAATGAAGAACAATATGGAAAGATAATATCAGAGAAACTTTACAACAACATGATGTTTTTCCTTTTGTCTGATTATGATAAGTAATAAAGGTAAAAGATTCTTTCCAAGCCTTCAGACATATTGGGCAAATAGGGCTAGACCTGTATTTAACAGACCAATCAGCACTTGGTAGGTGATGTGATCAGCATCACTGGCCACCTTTACTTACCAGCACTCACCTGCCACCCATTCAAGGCTGGGTCAACCTGGGAGCCAAGGTCGTTTTTGTTTTACCGTCATGACCCGAACCCAAGACTTTCTGATCCGCAGCTGTGTGTCTAGCTGCTACACCACAGGAGACCCATAAAAAAGCAGCACTACGATAAAATAAATGTATGCATACTTTCTTTCTGCACCGACAAATGATTTCAGGAACGTTGTTGCCATACCATGTGTTTGTTATTTTTCTCAGATTCTCAGCTCTTCCCATGTGGGTTCCGGGTCCCCAGTGTGAGGAAAACAAGAACAGACTCACTGCCTCCCCAACAACAACAAAAAAAGCATGTCGTAAAAATTGACTAATTAGGAGCTTCAGTCGAAGTCAGAGTGCATTTGCCAAAGTGGCAGGGAACAACTAACTGCACACTAATAGGCCAGTAAAACAAATGTACATACAACTCAAGCCCTGAAAAAAGCCAAAGTCCAAATGGGCCAACAGCCAGGACTTTCCACTGGAGCTTACAGCCGGTGAATGAAGAAGAAGAAGATTCTCAACTCTTAACCTTTCTGGGATTTGTGTGTGTTGTGGATTCCAGTTATAATAAGTAGCACTATATATAAAAAGTCAATAAATTCAAATATCTGGGAACAGTCATATCATCAGATGGAGAATGTGTGACAAAAATTAAAAGCAGACTTGGTCAAGAGAAGACAGTATTTCAGAAAATGAAAAATATCTTATGCAATAAGTCGCTGTCATTTAATGTCAGAAAGAGGCTGCTAAAATGTTACTAGAGCCTGTTCTGCTGTATGGCAGCGAATCTTGGAATGTCACTGAACAAATTTGGAAGAATTTGAGAGCAACAGAGATGTGGTTTCTGAGACGAATGTTATGAATACCTTAAATGGCTAGAGTAACTAACAAAGATTGCTTGAAAGAAGCTAATGAAAGTTGATCTCTATATGCAACAATAAGAAAGAGACAAACACTGTTCTTTGGCATGTAATGAGAAGAGAGACATTGGAGAACATCGTGACAACTGGAAAAATCAGTGGAAAAAGGGGTAGAGGAAGATCAAGAGAGGCGGTGCTCGATGAGCTAAAGCGATGACATGGAGGGATATCATCAAGAGAGCTGTTCCAGACCACCAGGGATCGTGATCAGTGGAGACGCATGAGCCCCTTTGCCAGTTGGCAGGGCACATGATGATGATATATAATAAAAAAAACATGCATGATTTTTCTGTTCACCAACAGATGCCTAAGATTTTCCATGTCAACTGGTTCCGTGTGGATTCAAAAGGCCAATTCCTGTGGCCAGGATTTGGTGACAACATCCGAGTCTTGGACTGGATTTTGCGGAGATGTGAAGGAGATAACTCCATCGCTGAAGAAACGCCGATCGGCTACGTGCCCAAAAAAGGTCTGTGTTTTTCTTTCTATTTCTTTCTAATGATAATCTACAGTTTCAGGCTAAAGAATCGACTTCCTTGCACCTGGTTTTAGTCATATGGCTCAGTCGGTCAACTAGCCATCTGTCAAAAGCATCACACAAAACACAAACTCTGAAACTCCAATGACAATCCGGGGGGATTTCTGTAAAAAGTGTACTTGTAAACCAAAAATGCAGCGTTGAAAATAGACCTGTATCTTTAGAGTGCATGGCAGACAGCTTGACCACTTACCGATGGAGACTCCTTTGCCATGGAGACCCCTCTACGATAATTTGTCTTGTCTTCTTCTTTTGTTCGCCTGAAATAAGTTGTCTGTATCAGCAATTCCGTCTGTCGTATAAATTCACGACCATTTTTAGTTTTTTCACTGGTCCACAGAGTTAATGATCCACTGTTGTTCTTTCTGGCCAAAAGGTTTGCCTTAATGTGTCATATTCAGTGCAGTCTTGGCGTTTGTGTTCTACTGTCTGTGGCAACTTTCTGCATGTGCATATGGCTGATACACCTGTCTTAAATGTAATATATGTGTTGCTGCGTAATCGACTGTGCCGTGTTTTGAGGTGCAGGATAATGATTTATTCTGATCTGACCATAATGTATGGTTGTCTTGTTCTGGAGCTGGTGGTTTTCTGATCTATTTGATGATCTTTTTTTGTTTTGTTTTTGGGTGGTATTTGACTGGTACATCCGGCTGCTCTTTTGTCGCACCTTGTCCTGTATGTTAACTAGTTCTCCTTTCCGGGCAATCCACAGCGGGACATTATCAGCTGTATGGTGACTCTGTGTCTTGTTTTAGAACAATCGAGTCAACAGGGGCCTTTTCGGTGTTTTATTTATATCCTGCCATAAACAGGGAAAATCCACAGGTCATGGAACAGTCTAATATATAAGGAAGGGGATGGTAGATAGGCTACATGCAGTCGTGGGAAGTTGGTGGGTTAGAGTTAGGGCCAGTTCTAGATGTTTTGGGGTTGTTAAAAGCATGAGAAAACCAGGAAACCCAGTCTTATAACCCTCTAAAATGTTGGACTGACCTGTGACGTCATCTGGTGTAGGGTATTAATCAAGCACCGCCTTTTCTCCTTGAGGGTTATATAGTCAATCTGGAAATGAAAGAGCTGATAAACAAGCTAAGGAAGGTGCGACTGAAGAACAACCTGACATACCAGTCTCTTATCAACAGGAGAAGAGAATAATCAAATCAATCAGAATGCCACCAAAACTGGCACAAGACTATAACCATATTATGGACAGACCAGAGCAAGTCATTATTCTACCCCTTAGAACAAGACACAACTTCGCAGCAACATGTACACCAAATTTAAGATCAGCGAATCGGCCATGTGCACATATGGACTGGCACCTGAGACAAGAAATCATGTAATCCAAGACTGTCCCAAATACAACATTTCCAGGTAAAACTTCTGGCCAAGAGAGACACTGGTGAAAGTCACACTTTACGGGTCGCTTAGTGAATTACAAAAGACAGTGAAGATGATACTAGAGACAGTATTGCTGATGTAGATATTTTATTTCAAGCGAACGAAAGAAGAAGAATATGGTCAGTGTCCATTTCATCTGGATCCAGGCTGTTACCTCATTCATTGGCACCTTTCCGTCTTTCCAGACGATAGTGTTATATTGTGCTATGAGGAGGCATGAGACTCACAGCCCATGGCGAGTGTGACTAGCAAGACCCACCCGTGTCAAGAAAAGTCTTCCACAATGTTAGCATAGGATTTCGTTGTTAACAACATTTGTGTTTAATCCGTTTCTTTTCGGACGTTCAGCTCTCATCCTTTCTGCAATCATTTCTTCCTTCAGTCTCATTCCCTTCCTGATATGCCATTTCCACACAACACAGTCCATGGCATCTTGTTCCCATGAGTCCACCTCAATACCTGTATCCTTCATGTCTCGCTAGGCTGTTACCTACAAGTTCACAATAGCATCCTGAGTATGTCAAAATGTCAAAAACGGACACTGTCTTCAGAAGACAGAAGGAAAATAGTCACAACAGAAATGAAATGTTTACATACTATGCAGGGTGTTATGAGGAAAGACCGTCTTAGCAATGATGATATCACGAGGAGAGTCGGCACAGAACGGACACTGAACTTTATAGGTTGACAGCAAATCAAATGGTTTGGCCATGTAACACGATTGGCATTAGACAAGGCACCACGGAGAGCAATATTATACAGATACAACGGTAACAGAGCCAGAGGTCTACCACGCAGAAGATGGACGGCAGAAATATAAGAGGCACTGAAAAGTACTTTATATGAAGCAAACAGAAGGACCTGTTCCAGAGATCTCTTCCTGCCCTGATGACGTGAGGCATTCCAGGAGTAGAGAAAAGAAGACAGGAGAAGATGAAGTGTGGAAGACAGTCTAATAGTTCATATCTCCGATAGCCTGTTCAGCCTCCAAAGAAGTTATAATTAGGGCCTCTATAATGGCTACACAAATTAGCTGTAACCTGCAGTGCTGTGTGGGTAAAGGGAAGTCATCTCTTTCCTTTTTTTCCCAAAGGGTTCGCTGTCTGCTTTCATTTCACTTGCTAATTATCTTTTATGTCTGTTTTTTTGTCTTGTCTTTATTCCTTTGAGCCTGTAAGTTCCAGTGTGCTGCAAAAAATTCAAGTTTTTGTTTTTCAATCAGGTTTTCTCAATGTACGTCCTATCCAGTACCAGCATTTAAAGTTATCTTTGCTTTCCTTCTCAAGTGGCTTCTGGGCCCTATTTTATTTAAGGGGGTAAGCTGGGGGAGGGGGGGGGGGGGTGGTGGGTTTCCGTGCCCTTTAACATGCTTGTTTGTAGAAGTGACTAATTAACATTTTGCTGAAATTGCATGTGTTGAGCCAAAAGGCACAGATATCACAGCCTAGTTGTAAACCACAACACAGTATGCTTACTGCCCTTCTAAGGATGCTTGAAGAAGAAGAAGAAGAAGAAAACAGGATGGTGAAGAAATTCTGAGTGTGAGTGCCAGCGATAGACACAAAGCTGAGGAAGATACAGATCTCATGTCTGTAGGTCAAACGTTGCTTTTATTAAAATCGATGATTGAAGATTTTCTTCTAATGTTATGATTTGTGATTGCAGGAACCATTGACCTGTCAGGTCTAGAGGGCATCAATGAAGACGAGCTCTTCAGTCTGCCCAAGCATTACTGGCTGGACGACACCAGGGAAAGCAAGCGCTTCCTGGAGGACCAGGTCTGTTCTTCATCATCATCATTATTCTCCTGTGTCATTATATGTCAAATGCTCATGGTCCATTTCTCCATTCTGTTCTTTCCTGCATAATCTCTGATAATATGGATGGAATCCTGTCCCACAACTTTGGTCTCTTTCATGGACATTCATTTTAGGTTGTGTGTTTGTTGTGTGTTTTTTGTGTCCCCCCCCCCCCCCCCCCCCCCCCCCGTGTCCTCTTACTTACTTATTTAGTCGTTTCTCTTCTACCTTGGGGTGTAGAGGTTTGCCAGAGAGATCGCCAGACTTCTCTATCAGCAGTTTTCTTTGTAATCGTACTTTAAGGCAAACAGGTGATTGGCCTGTTTGTGCCTTGGCATGGTGGAGGGGCTGCCTCCTTGCGATCTCCATGCAGAACGTCTGGCTGATTCATGGTTACCCATTACTTCTGGAGACGCATGAAGCACTTAGGTTCAGCCAGACCCTCCTCCTCTTACAGCCGGGCTTGGGACTGGTCTTAGCGGATTTCCTCGCTTCCTCAATTTCTTTATTCTTACCTGCAAGTTTCTGTAGCAAATAATTTTTTGAATGGGAGGGGGAGCTGACCGCATGCCCAACCCTCCTCCTTTTTCATCCAGGCTTGGGAATGGCAGTGTTGGAGATATTCACTTTATAAATTTTCTAAAAGAACAGCAGGCCATATGGTCAGCTGAATGAATCTTTATTCTGGCTTCTTACTATAGCTCATAGGGTGTTTATCTGTTTTTGACACCAAGATATTTTGTTTCATTTTAATCTCAGTATATTATCATCTTCTTCTTTTTTGTTTAGTTCTTTAGAAATATCTGCTCAAGGGGGTCTTTGGTTGGGGGGAGGAGGACACAGAAGACACAAACAACTGATCTTACCATTTTTTGCCTGGTATATTTTAGCTGACACACACTGACAAGGCATCAGCAGCTTTTGAAAACATATATCAAACGGTGCATATACCAAACAGTACATTTAGCAAACAGTACATACACTAAACAGTACATACACTAAACAGTATGTATACCAAACAGTACATATACCAAACAGTATGTTTACCAAACTACATATAGCAAACAGTGCATATACCAAATAGTACATTTACCAAACAGTACATATAGCAAACAGTGCATATACCAAACAGTACATATAGCAAACAGTACATACATTAAACAGTATGTATACCAAACAGTATGTTTACCAAACAGTGCATATACCAAACAGTACATATAGCAAACAGTACAAATACTAAACAGTACATTAGCAAACAGTACATACACTAAACAGTATTTATACCAAGCATTACGTATACCAAACACATTTTCCCATCTGAAATAAAGGAAGCATTACTAATTACCTGTGTAAGCCACACTTCATATGTTGCTCAGTGAATTACAAACGATTAAAGTTCACACTAGAGACAATATTGCAGATATAGAAAATCTATATCAAGCGAACAAAAGAATAATAATTAATCCGTTCCTATGCATAAAATACTGTTGTTATTGACAAAGTTTTTTGGGGTGTATAAAATAATTAATCCGTTCCTATGCATAAAATACTGTTGTTATTGACAAAGTTTTTTGGATTGTATAAAATAATTTAAACACTGCTTATTACTAAAATACAAAAGCAATTAGATAAAGTAAATGAAAACGTAACCTCACTTGACCTTGCTAAAAATAGTCAAGTCCTACTAGGGAAGGAGAGGTAGGGGGGGGGGGGGGGGGGGTACTGAGATGGGAAAAGAGGAAAATGTTATTTACAGGGTGAGTCCCCTTCCATGAAAACTTCAGGAATCTAAAATTCTTGGGTTTTTTCTTTCTGTTTTTTGTCTCTACTTGGAGCTGGTTGAGGCTTATAAATTCTAGCCTGGAGTTGTATAGCAAACAAAGGTTGTATACCAAGCACAATAGTTTGCCTGTAAACAGAACAAATACCATTTGCTCTAATTAGAAAGTGAATGTTTACTGAAGTACCATTGTAACCCACAAACTGGTTCTTTCCCAGGTTGGTATTGACACTCCCAGCATCATCTTTAAACTACTGGATGAACAGGAGGAGGCTTTCAACAAGTGCCCAGAATGAAACAGGCTGGCTGAGGCCACCATTGGTTGACCCCAGTTTTTGTTTCCGTTAACCAGTGCTGATGAATGTCAAGCTACATGATGATGATGATGATGTTATAATGGCAGGGTATATGTGTAGGCAGGGCAGGATGAGGTAGATGTGTGTAGGCAGGGCAGGATGAGGTAGATGTGTGTAGGCAGGGCAGGATGAGGTAGATGTGTGTAGGCAGGGCAGTTGATGTGCATGTGTGCTGGACACAGGGCACAGCTTCCTGCACTCATTGTCCTCAATCACTTCTGTCTGGACTGGCAATCAGCTGTAGTTACATGACGGATACAAGAAAGAGTGATCCTCATCACTTTGATGGATGAACATCAAAAACATGTTACACATGCTAGTGAAAGGTTTATGAAAGCTGACTGTTCATCTGACTGTGCCTTTACATAACACAGTGGCAGGGTAGTTGATTGAAGTGCAGTAGAAACATGCAGATATAACTTGCTTGGTTGTGACAGCATAGACCGTGTTTTGTTGCACCTATAATCGGAGGTGTGCATGCAACAGGAGAAACAGATGAAGTACATGGCAAAGACTGTAGATAGTTGATGTACATGGCAAAGTTGATGTACATGGCAGACTGTAGATAGTTGATGTACATGGCAAAGTTGATGTACATGGCAAAGACTATAGATAGTTGATGTACATGGCAAAGTTGATGTACATGGCAAAGACTATAGATAGTTGATGTACATGGCAAAGACTATAGATAGTTGATGTACATGGCAAAGACTATAGATAGTTGATGTACATGGCAAAGACTATAGATAGTTGATGTACATGGCAAAGTTGATGTACATGGTAAAGACTATAGATAGTTGATGTACATGGCAAAGTTGATGTACATGGTAAAGACTATAGATAGTTGATGTACATGGCAAAGTTGATTTACATGGTAAAGACTACAGATAGTTGATGTACGTGGTAAAGTTGATGTACATGGTAAAGACTATAGATAGTTGATGTACATGGCAAAGTTGATGTACATGGCAAAGTTGATGTACATGGCAAAGACTATAGATAGTTGATGTGCACAGGATGACTGGAAGGTTGAGGTTTAATGGGGCTGACTAGATAGTTGATGTACATGGGGCAGACTAGATAGTTGATGTACATGGCAAAGACTATAGATAGTTGATGTGCACAGGATGACTGGGAGGTTGAGGTACATGGGGCTGACTAGATAGTTGATGTACATGGGGCAGACTAGATAGTTGATGTACATGGCAAAGACTAGATAGTTAATGTACATGGCAAAGACTAGATAGTTGATGTACATGGGGCAGACTAGATAGTTGATGTACATCGGACAGATTAGATAGTTGATGTACATAGGGCAGACTAGATAGTTGATATACATGAGACAGACTAGATAGTTGATGTATATGAGACAGAGTAGATAGTTGATATGCATGAGACGACTAGATAGTTGATGTACATGGGGCTGACTAGATAGTTGATGTACATGGGACAGATTAGATAGTTGATGTACATGGGTCAGACTAGATAGTTGATGTACATGGGGCAGACTAGATAGTTGATGTACATGGGGCAGACTAGATAGTTGAAGTACATGGGGCTGATGAGTCAGATGTATCACAGACTAGATAGTTGATGTATGTGGGGCTGATGAGTCAGATGTATCACAGATTAGATAGTTGATGTATGTGGGGCTGATGAGTCAGATGTATCACAGACTAGATAGTTGATGTATGTGGGGCTGATGAGTCAGATGTATCACAGACTAGATAGTTGATGTATGTGGGGCTGATGAGTCAGATGTATCACAGACTAGATAGTTGATGTATGTGGGGCTGATAAGTCAGATGTATCACAGACTAGATAGTTTATGTATGTGGGGCTGATGAGTCAGATGTATCACAGACTAGATAGTTTATGTATGTGGGGCTGATGAGTCAGATGTATCACAGATACATATACCCAGGAAAGGATAGTCTGCAGTTAGATTTATGAAATATGTTTCGAAACTTTTTAAAAAAATTTTTGTGTTACTCATTGTTTGCTAGTTACGTATTGATGTACTCTAATGGAGCTCATTTTTGTCAGCCAGCATTTTTTCTTCCACTTTTTATATCCATGTCTAACTGATGTTTGAGGCATTTTACTTTTTGCAGATACATGTATATTTTTTAACTGCTTCTTATTGATGTTTGAGGTATTTACTTCTTGCAGATGTTTTTAAACTTATTTTTACTGACGTTTGATGCATTTACTTCTTACATTTGTGTTTTTTAACTGCTTTTTTACTTATGTTTGATGCATTTATTTGTTACTAATTAATGATTGCTCGTACAGCTTTAATAAGTCAAGTGCCATATCCATATGTGGTAGAAGAGGTTTCAATATCACTGCAAATGAGTCACCTCATAGTTTCTCTGTTCCTGTGCCATTGACAATAACATCCATCATCCTTGTGTGGGATGCAATTTTTCATTATTTGAAGCCCTACCCTGGGCCCTGAATATAGCCGGGGCATAGATATGGCCTAACGGCTGAAAGGGGTTTCTGGGACCTCTCCACAGGTGATCCTCATCCTCATGGTTATCCTCATGGTTGCACTTTGTGTCACCGGGTGTTTATTGCTTGTGTGATGTCCTGGTGGGGTAAAAAGTCAGTCAGTCAGTGACAAATATCACACCAAATGTTCCCTACTGTTCCATTTAGAAACCAGTGAACAGACATTTGGTCTCTGCAAAATTAAAAACCAGATGCAGTAAATGCAGCCGCCAGAGGTGCCAACACCAAAATTTCAGTTTTTATTTTGTCGGCCATGACAAGGTGGCCGTAAACATATAGTAATAATGCATAAGGTGGGGTGAGTAGGGGAGGTGTGTAACCCCCCCCCCCCCCTCCCCCCATTAAGAAGTATATGTCTTGTGTCTTCCTGATACTTTCGTACAAGCTTCTAGTCTGGGTAGTATTGATTGGTATCCACTCACCAGTAACAATTACTTCCTCCTAATGCTTCCCCTCTATTTGTCCCTTAACAAGTGACTGTCTCTTTGTACAGCCATTATACTTTTCACTGTCAGAAATTATTCTGCATTTTTATGTTTAAAAAAAAAATAGTCTTTTACATGTTGTGTTGTGGTTTACAGCTAGGCTGCAATATCTGTGCCTTTCTAACACATCCAGTTTCAGCATAAGCCCTAAACCTCCTCGCTCCCTCCCAAAACCACCGCAAGGGAAATGGGACCAACAAGAAACATATAACATTATCTTTACTTGACTCCCATACCAGTCAGTTCACCCCTGAATGTGACGTGCCATATATATGAAGTTATTTATGTATGTCTGTCTGTGCTGCAACAGTTTACCTGGATTTTTTAAAAATATATATTGCAATAAAATACATGCTCACAGCATTGTTTTCTTAGGTCTAAAATGTGGGCTGTCATATTGTCTGCCTTCACAAAAGAGTAGCCTAACGGCGCTGCCCAGGCAAAATTTTGAGTTTAAAATCTGCCCAAAGTATTTCAGGATCCTCGCCAGTGCTACAGGCTTAAGTTAGAAGAAGAACGGGGCACTTATGGGTTACACCCGTGAGCCATGATGTTGATCCTTCCAATATACATAAACAGTTGCATACATTGATCTCTCCTATCTTTATTATCACAAAATCCCACAGGAATAATAACACAGTTTATTTATTTACTTATTTATTCTGCGGCAAAAGAATCTTGGTGACAGCAAGACTAGAGCTCAGTACAACATGAATTCAGATAACTTATCTATACATTATTCTAAACACAGACACATAAACTGTTCTATTAATATCTGACACATTAGCAATTACATCTATTTCTGTTCATAAAATCAGAATTGACTACAATGTCAGTAGACATCAATAAAATCTTCAAATAGCAGTCACCTCTTCGTACATCATCCTTTTTTCTTTTTCTCAACACAAATCAATAAATTCTCCAGACATGTTATCTGTATGTCACTCATCTCTTCATATGTCAATCACCTATTGATACATCAGTCAGTACATCAGATATGGATCACTGCTGCATACATCAGTCAACATTCCAGATATGGGTCACTACTCAATATATCAGTCAACACTCCAGACATGGGTCACTGCTCCATACATCAGTCAACACTCCAGATATGGGTCACTGCTCCATACATCAGTCAACACTCCAGACATGGTTCACTGCTCCATACATCAGTCAACACTCCAGATATGGGTCACTGCTCCATACATCAGTCAACACTCCAGACATGGTTCACTGCTCCATACATCAGTCAACACTCCAGATATGGGTCACTGCTCCATACATCAGTCAACACTCCAGACATGGTTCACTGCTCCATACATCAGTCAACACTCCAGATATGGGTCACTGCTCCATACATCAGTCAACACTCCAGACATGGTTCACTGCTCCATACATCAGTCAACACTCCAGATATGGGTCACTGCTCCATACATCAGTCAACACTCCAGACATGGTTCACTGCTCCATACATCAGTCAACACTCCAGACATGGGTCACTGCTGCATACATCAGTCAACACTCCAGATATGGGTCACTGCTCCATACATCAGTCACCATACATCAGTCACCATACATCAGTCAACACTCCAGATATGGGTCACTGCTCCATACATCAGTCAACACTCCAGATATGGGTCACTGCTCCATTCATCAGTCACCATACATCAGTCAACACTCCAGATATGGGTCACTGCTCCATACATCAGTCAGCACTCCAGATATGGGTCACTGCTCCATACAACAGTCACCCCTGCCTACATCAGCCATCTCTGCATACATCAGTCAACTCAAAACTCCAGACAACTCTAATCAATCGACCACATGCTGCTCCCCACAAACATCAACCAGAAATGAAAAGTCCCCATTCTGTGGTTTGAACTGAGTCTCAACCTTCAGTCGGCTGCCAGCAACAACAGCACTGCTGTGTCTGTAAATTTTCACCCCTTGCTTGGAGAACATGTCCCACCTGAGCAGAACACAATGAAAACAATAGTTTATGTTCGTATATGAACAGAAAAGGATAGGCAAAAACTGCATTTTATAAAATGAAGAAAGTCTTATGCAATATATCTCTGTCATTGAGAGTTAGAAAAAGAATTTGCCTTTACTCCCATAAGTGCTGCGATCCCCATCTTCAGCAGCAAGCGAAGAGTTCCAGTTTCGATGGCACCAGTAACTGTCTGATTGTATATCTGTCTCACCCTTTACCTGAGTGTTGAGCATCGGCCACACCCCTGGTAACTCCTCGCAGCGCCATTCTCACCAGATCGTAATGATCTATCTGCGCATCCGCACTGTTCACTCATTCCCAAAGGGCCTCACAATATCTAGCTTGTCATACATCAAATCACCACCAAGTGGTGCAGAGCCTGCCAGTCCATCTGTTATGTATTCTAGTTTATAATTGTATCATTACCTGGTTGTGTCATATGCTAATGAAGGCTCTTAAGCAGCCACGCTCATTTGTTTCATTTGTGATTGTAGTACTGTAAAACAAACTAGTTCTGCTTTTCCTGAAAAGTTTTCAACAAGCGAAAGACCACAGTAACTTACTTAATTTTTCTGGCTTCGCAGTTATCATCCACCAAACCGGTGCTGATTGTCAAGTCACTGCCAAAGCTGAATTCTGACCAAAATACAACTCCATTCATTGTGCCTTCCCTGGTGTAACAAACAATTTTAGCATGATACATCCCTTCATAATCAATAATAATAAACTGCAAGAACAACAATAAAATGACAGACCATGTATATAACATAAAGGCAGTCAAACAATGTTATTATTATGTAGAAATAACTTTGCAGAAGGTAGGTAGGTAATTGACCCCCTGCAGGGTAGTAAGTTTTGATACTAATGTCAAATCAGTACTATTGTATGGAACGGAAACTTCACCTGCTGCTAAAGATAGGGATGAAGTGCTTGTGGGAATGTTGGTTCTTAAAATTCAACTCCAGTATTGCTGACGGAAGGATTAACACCTCAGAGATGAGAATGAAAAGGTAGCAAATCACAGGAACCATGTTAAATCTAACAACATATTTATATTAGGGCACCCAAGGTACCCTCGTAGGTGTAGTCGAGGTTCAACTTCCCAGCAAGTGGGTCACCCCATACTTGCTCTGTTTCTGTGCCAGTGAAAATCAAATGAATTGTCTCTCACTGTCCCATCGGAAAAACTAGTGAACAGTTAGTCCCGGCATGGTCTAGAAATAAACGCATGCAAAGTAAATGCATAAGGCAATTGCTAGAGGTGCGAAAGTCAACAGTCGCCACAGAAAAGCAGTTTGTTGTTGATGGAAGTAGTCGGACACGATAAGTTGGCCAAAGATACATAAAATTATCACATAATTTCACATGTACACACTAGCTACCCATCATACCGAATACCACAACACAGCCGCTGCACAAATAAAAGGCGCTCCATGTTAAAAAAAAAAAAAAAAAAAAAAAAAAAAAACAGCTCACAGTGCTGCACCAAGCACATAACTCAGCAACTTAGGTACTGAAACCTGCACTCAAACAAGGGAGTTGGGATTATCAGGAAATAATTTACAGAACACTGATACTAGATTTCTTCAATCATCAATCTTTAATCATCAAACATCTTAACAAAGAGATAATTGAATTCTTCAATCATCAAACATCTTAACAAGGATATAATTGAATTCTTCATATAGTAAACATCTTAATAAGGGAAGAATTGAATTCTTTATATACCAAACATTCTAACAAGGGGAAAACTGAATTCTTTATACATAAAACATTTCAATAAGGGGAGAATTGAATTCTTTATATACCAAACATTCTAACAAGGGGAAAACTGAATTCTTTATACATAAAACATTTCAATAAGGGGAGAATTACATTCTACATTCACTAAACATCCCAACAATGGAAGAGTTGAATTCTTCTTTCACTAAACACCCACACAATAGATGCTCTTGCACTCACCTATGACACTTCAGCTCCACAACCTGCTGTATCTCGCTGAAGCTCTCAACTGACTGATTAAAACTTATCGACATAAGTGGCGCAGGTCGTGACAGAGCCATTGTGGGGTACTCCCATAAAGGCTGGGGTTCGATGTCTTCATCAGCCGATAGTGATGCCATCTGGAGATGATAAGTATACATTAAACAAATATTTTAGCAAAGATAAGCTACATATTAGTTAGTTAATCTTTCCTCTGGAGCCCAGGGTGGCGCACTGGGCAGAGGTCATAGCTCTCCATATCTGGCAGTTCGTTGCCACCTGCTTTAGGTCCTGGATGTTCATTAGGCCCATGGTTAAGCCTTCCCTGACGATGGTTCTACACAGGGTCTCTCTTGGTCTTCCTGGTTTTCTTTTCTCTTCCGGTGTCCATATGAGGGCTTGATGTGAAGTCTGGTCTTTTCTCTTCCGGTGTCCATATGAGGGCTGTGAATCCGGTGTCCATATGAGGGCTTGATGTGAAGTCTGGTCTTTTCTCTTCCGGTGTCCATATGAGGGCCTGATGTGAAGTCTGGTCTTTTCTCTTCCGGTGTCCATATGAGGGCCTGATGTGAAGTCTGGTCTTTTCTCTTCCGGTGTCCATATGAGGGCCTGATGGGGGAGATGTCTTTTCCATTCTGAGTGCATGGCCAGTGTAGTTCCAGCAGTGCTTTTTTTTTTATCAATTTGGATAGATTTTCTTGCTTGGTCTCTTGTCTCCAGTGAAGATTTAGTATTCTTCTAAGATATTTGTGCTCAAAATTGTCTAATTTTTTTTATCTAGAGCTATTGTTAAGCTACATATTTATTTGCATACACTTCTTTGCATAATAAAAAACAAATTCTAACAACAGTGCCTACAAATCATTTCCACTGTACATCGAAGCATTCAGTCCATAAGTGTTTGAATCTCCTGCTCAGTAAATCTTGCAGCAAGCAGCGGCTGTCGACACCAGTTATGTGATGGTTTACTGTTCTTCTCTGACGTCCTGTAAAGTGGTCCTGTCTGGCCACACCACTTTTCACTTGTTGTTTTAACACACGGATTGTGGTTGCAGATTCAGTCATCACTTGGTTCTTGCAAACATCTTATTTGTCGAAGCATTCAGTATATTAACCTGGTCCACTGCTTGTCTGCCCTCCAAAGTAACCCACCAGCAAGGTTATCAGCTTGTACATTTCCTTTTACATCTGTATTACTTCTTCAGAAATACAGTCATGTCTGACAGTAATGATTACACAGATGAAGACAATACAATGCCATCTCTAGACTGTAGTCTGATACCCCAGCATTGGACAGCCCACTTCCCTACAGTGTGAGAAAGTTAATGAAAATCAAGTGGCAAGACAGGGTCCAGGATACTGTAGAACTAGACAGAGACGACATTCCCAGCATCCATACCATCCTGCTGCAGACACAGATTTGATGGGCAGGTCACGTCTGTTTACCAGATCATCGATTCCCAAAAATAATCTTTTACAGTGATACAGAAGAAGGTAGATGCTCTCATAGTGGCCAGAAAAAAAAAATGCTTCAAGGAAATGCTTAAGGCACCACTTGAAGCCTTAAATATAAACCCAGGCACCTGGGAGGCTGCTGCACAAAACCCCGGACTGTATGGTGAATGACAATCTGAAGAGCCACGGGGACTTGCCAGGCATCTAGAAGAGTTGAGTTGAGTCAAGAATTGACATCACAGCACTTGGGGCATTCCCATGCCTGCTCCGTCCTCATCTTTAGCAGCCAGCGCAGAGTTCCAATACTGATGGTACCAGTCATAATCTGGTTAAAAGTCCATCTTGCCTTTCCTCTGAGTGTAGTGAGCCGGCCAGATCCTCTGGTTACACCCAGGTGCCTCGTTCTCTCCAGGCCATAATAATATTCTTTCTCTACTGATTCCGTTGCTTGTTGACAAAGGGCCTTGACCACATCATCTACCTTGTCATGTATCAATTCACCACCCAGTGGTGCAGATCAAGCCAATCTGTCTGCCTGTTTTTTACCCACCACACTGGCATAGCCTGGAGAACAGATCTAAAGTATGCCCACTACCCGTGACCTTTACAGTCCCTATCTTCACATTTCTCAGCATGCGTTCAGAGTCTGTTACAGTTACGACATGTGTATGCATCTTGTTCTCTAGAAAAAAAAAAAAAAGTAATAAAAGACTAGCCATAAAAGTAATAACAGGGTTCATAGCCAAATTTACCAATCAATTTCAAGGCTTTTCAAGGTCTTTTTCAAGGTCTCCTTAGTTTCTTTCAAGGTTGTCTCGGTGTAATACTGAAACAAGATTTTTGCCTTGTTCAAGGGTGTACTGAGCACACAAGGTACTTCATTTGTGCCACATGTGTTGGTATACCAGCACAGATATCATCATCATGTAGCATTTCCTTTGTCCTGACAAAAAAACCTCGGTCTCTCACCAGCTCTCCCGCCTCATGTACTTTTTTATACTCAAGGAGTCACTTATATCCTGTGCCCATCTTCGTGTTGGTCGGCCCCTGAGCTTGATATAGTGTTTGAAATTTTTTTTTAGGGCTTGGTGGTAGAGGGCAGCAAACTGAAGTCCTCTCTGTTCTGGACCTGGTACCTGAGAGGGTTAGGGGAGAGAGAGAGTCATGAAGAGAGAGGAAGACACATGCTGAGGTAGGCTGGGAGAGACAGTGTAAAGATGGACAGATGAAGGTAGAGAAAAGAAGGAAAAGAAGTCTGGGGAAGGAGGAAAAAATGAGAGGGAGGGATGGAGACATGATGAGGAAAAGTGGGGAAGGGACAGCGAAAGACAGAGAGGGAGACAAATACAGAAAGAGGGAATGCAGATACAGAGATGGGCAGATGAAAAGAGAAGGAAAAAGGGAACGAAACAGAGATATGGAAGGAGGAAAATATAACAAAGAGTTGAAAGAAGGGAGACAGAGGGAGAGAGAACGGACAGGGTGAGAAGCAGATGCAAGCAGAGAGAGATGTAAACATAAAGGAGAGAGAGACAAAGGGACAGCACAGAGAGGCAAGCAGACAGAGGGAGAGAACCTAAGAAAGAGAAAAAAGGCAGAACAGGAGAATGGGAGGGAGGTATACAAAGAGGAAGTGATGAAGGGAGGCAAACAGACATAAAGCAAGAGAGAGAGAGAGAGAGAGAGGTGGGTAAGGAAGGCAGTGACAAACACAGATTAAGAGAGAGGGGCAGGAAGGGAGACAAGATACATCAAAGAAAAAAAACAGCCACCTACTCCCCCCCCCCACCCCCCCCACCCCCACACAATTTCAAGTGTAGTGGACACAACCACTAGGAAAAGAGTTATGGGGCAAAAAAATACGTAGATGAACCAGTAAAAAATGGGGGGGGGGGGGAGAATGAGAGAGGGGAGCGGGTAAGGAAATCTAGAGAAAATGAAAAGACAGGATGGAGAGGAGACAAAGAAGAGATGGAACAGGAGAAAGGGCAAGGAAAGGAAGAGAGGAAGAATGGAGAGAGAAAGGAGAATAGTAGAAGATCAAAGGAAAGAGAAGGGGTGAGAGAAGAAAGGTAAGACACGGTTGTGGGGGTGGGGGGGGGGGGGGGGGGGTGTAAGAACAATGAGTGCCAAAAATAGAATTAGGAAATCTCTAAGTGAGGCCACTTTTCCAGTTCCTACCCTCTCCCAATGTGAATGTGGCAGTGGTCCAAAAACAACAGTGCTAACCCCTACTGCCCCTTGCTTGTCCTATCTGTGTGTGACAATAATTCAATTTCTTACACTTAAGGCTGGTGACCTGAGAGTCAAGGTCATTTTATGAAGAAGAAAAAAGTCCAGGGGATCCCAACCCACCACTGGTGGAAAATAGAGAAGTTTACCCACACACATAAATAGGTCAGACACATTAATAGGTCAGGGCAGCAGTGGACTTCGTTTTATTTCTGGTTTTCCAATTACAGAAAGGAGGGGAGAGAGGAGGTGGTGGAAAGTGGTGTAGAAGGCTGAGGTGGTAAGGGTGAGACAGGGGAGGTGAGAGAATAAAGTTTAAGAAAATAAAGTGGGAATGAGACAGGGAGAGAAAGAAGGGAGTAAGAAATAAGATGAGACATAGAGGGAAGAAGGTAGCAGGAAGGGGTGCACTCCCTCCCCTAGGTGTCATCAATGTGGGAGGAGAAAAAAAAAAAGGTGGGGGGGGGGGGGTGACGGCAAATGTGTTTTTAAAAGTACACATATATTTAATGTGTGGGGGGGGGGAATGGTGGACATGAAATGTTCTGCACTAGGCAACACATAACCTTCTACACCAACTGAAGGTATGGAGAAAGAAAAAAGAGAGAGAGAGAGGAGAGAGAGAGAGAGAGAGAGGAGAGAGAGAGAGATGAGAGAGAGAGAGAGGAGAGAGAGAGAGAGAGAGGGGGAGTGAGGGAGAGTGGCAAATACAAAAGAAAGAGAGAGAGGAAAGCAGTGACACAGACAGGCAGAGAGTGAGGAACAGGTAGGACAAAATGTGAGGGGGCGGGAAGGGAGATGGACAGAGATTAAGGCCCCTAGGAAAACAAACACATCAAAAGAAAATATCCACCATGTTCCCACAGAATGCCCCCCCCCCCCCCCCAATACAACTTCCTGTGTACTTGAGTTGCTAGGAAGAGTTATGGAGCCGCACATTTACTAAACATTTAAACAAGAAATAAAATAGGAAAAAAGGGGGGAGGGGGGACAGGAAATGAGAGAGTAAAAGGAAAGATAGAGAGAAAGAGAAGAAGATGAAGATCAGAAGGGAGGGTTAGAGACACTGCAGGAGACGGGAAGGAAGGAGCAATAGGTAGAAGAGTGAAAGAGGGAGGGAAGAGAGAGAGGGGTGAGACAACAGAAGAGGGAATCTCGGGGAATTACAATACTGATCGCCAAACACACTGTAAAGATAAATCCAGGCCAAAAATAGAACTGGGAAATCCAGCTGCTGTCACTTTGCTTAGCCCCAATGCCATCTCTAATTAATAGAGAAGGCCGTGCTTAGCCCCCACCACGGCGACTCTATTTATAAATACAACTGAACCGAGCCCCACCATCTCCCAATGTAATCCTTTCTAGAAACCACGGCCATAAACGATTTTTACTGTTCATTCTGCCCGACTTGCTAGAAACAAAGGCACACACACACGCGCGAGACGGAATCTGCTACTTCCCGCCCCATGCCACACCGCTGCTGTCTGCATGTATTCATGATCTGCAACACAGCCCGCCCTCCCCTGGCCTTTAACAAGCCATTTCGGCTGAAAATAGCCAATAATCAGCTGCCCTCACACCTGAAACGACCATACAACGAAAGTAGCCAAAAACTAGCCAAATGGCCAAAAAAGCCAAATGGCTCCCCCAAAATTGCCTGTGCTGAGAAACACAGGATTTCTGACGATTTTATTGCCATGGTCAAAATTCACGGCTTTTCAAGGTCGGAATGTCTTTTATAAGCTAAAATTCACGGTTCAAGGTCAACGGAAAAAATCCCGGTAATTTCCCGATTTCCCGGTCCACTACGAACCCTGTAATAAAAAAAGAAGTAATACAGGTGTAAAAGGGGCATCCGAACAGTGAAGAAAGGCTGTAAAACCTGTATATAAGGTCTTTTACCTGCAGACAATGTTTCCTGCCCTCAGTGCCCTAGATCCTTCTAGACCCTTTCTAGGCTTACAAGTCATCTCCGGACTTCCTCGTATGGGTTCCAGGGCCCCATTGTGGGGAAAACAAGACTAGACCCACTGCCTCCTAAACAAGCATGTCATAGGAGTCGACTAATTGGGGGTTTTCATCAAGTCGGAGTGCATCTGCCCGAGCAGCAAGGAACAACCAACTGTACACAAATAAGCCAGTAAAACGGAGGTACACGCAAGACTCAAGCCCTGGCACAAAGCCAAAGTTTAAATAGAAGAACAACCAGGAGCTTCCACGGGAGCTTACAGTCGGTGTTTCATAATGGATGAAAGAAAGATCCGTCATTATCACTTGTGAGGGACGAACAACGACAACAACCGGATAGACAAAGAAACAAGAAAGCATCAACTGACCTCAATAAGTTTGTCAAACTCTGTGATGTCAAACCCGGCATAGCTGCCCACGGGTGCCCGGATCTTGTGAAGATCCCGGAGCTCTACAGCCATAGCCTTGATGGTCATCTGTTCTGGGAGAATGACGCACGTACCACTTAAATGTTGACGAAGAGAGTTGACGGCGTACCAGAAGTATAGATGTTCCCAGGGAAGCGAGGCGGCCTGGAAAAATGGCTCGGCGATGACGAGATCAATCTGTGGTTGAAATCAAAATTATGCATAATGTGAACAAAATTGGTCAATTCCATGTGTGGGTTCCAGGGTCTAATTATGGGGGAAAACAAGAACAGACCCCTGCCTCCCCAACAAGCATGTTGTAGAAGTAAACTTACTGGGTGCATTCTTTAAAGTCGTAGAGCATCTGCCTCAGAGGCAAGGAACCAACAGTCTGCATACAAATAAGACAGATCTGTAAAAGAGATTTTGCCTGGTACATCTAGCGGCTACATCACGGCAGCTGCCCTACGTGTGTGTGCTAAATTTCACACAATCCTGACAGATCCTCATACCAAACTTCTATAATTCCAGCGGCGCTTCCTTATCAAACTGGATACATTATTTTGCTAGGTCTCTTGTCTTAATCGCTATTGAATCTGAAACCTGTGTGCTTACTATCAAATAATCTTGATAGATCCTCATGATTATATCAATGCAGCTGACATGTCATCTGGGACATGTGACATGTCATCTGGGACATGTGACATGTCATCTGGGACATGTGACATGTCATCTGGGACATGTGACATGTCATCTGGGACATGTGACATGTCATCTGGGACATGTGACATGTCATCTGGGACATGTGACATGTCATCTGGGACATGTGACATGTCATCTGGGACATGTGACATGTCATCTGAGACATGCCAGGGTGAAAGGAAATTAAAGAGCCGACAGACTAGCCGTATCTGCAGTGGCTGGTCGAGGAAGAAGTACGGACAGGGGAGACGTACTACTAAAGGCACTGCGCTCTAGAGACTTTGGTACAATGAACCGCCTGTTGAATGGATATTTAACAAAGACAAGCAAGCAGAAATGGGTTACAGAGCAAAGAAAGAAGATATGCCAGTCGACTCCTACTGGGTTTGTGGTTAACGGGCACATGAGTTGGCTGCTGCATCTGAGGATGGAGAACAAATGGGTCGGACCATTGTTCTAGAATGTCACTACAGGGAAACAAAGTAACATGTAATCCTTCTTTCTGTCTCCCTCTCACACAAATTCCTTAGAAGCCACACAGCCTCTAGTGCTGCAAGCGAGGCTTTGAATCTCCCTCTCATACAAATTCCTTACAAGCCACACAGCCTCTAGTGCTGCAAGTGGGGATTTCTGTCTTCCTCTCACACAAATTCCTTACAAGCCACACAGCCTCTAGTGCTACAAGCGAGGGTTTCTGTCTTCCTCTCATACAAATTCCTTACAAGCCACACAGTCTCCAGTGATGCAAGCGAGGGTTCTGTCTCCCTCTCATACAAATTCCTTACAAGCCACACAGCCTCCAGTGATGCAAGCGAGGGTTTCTGACTCCCTCTCATACAAATTCCTTAGAAGCCGCACAGCCTCTAGTGCTGCAAGCGAGGCTTTGAATCTCCCTCTCATACAAATTCCCTAGAAGCCACACAACCTCCAGTGATGCAAGCGAGGGTTTCTGTCTCCCTCTCATACAAATTCCTTAGAAGCCGCACAGCCTCTAGTGCTGCAAGCGAGGCTTTGAATCTCCCTCTCATACAAATTCCTTAGAAGCCACACAGTCTCCAGTGATGCAAGCGATGCTTTGAATCTCCCTCTCACACAAATTCCTTAGAAGCCACACAGTCTCCAGTGCTGCAAGCGAGGCTTTGAATCTCCCTCTCATACAAATTCCCTAGAAGCCACACAGCCTCCAGTGATGCAAGCGAGGGTTTCTGTCTCCCTCTCATACAAATTCCTTAGAAGCCGCACAGCCTCTAGTGCTGCAAGCGAGGCTTTGAATCTCCCTCTCATACAAATTCCCTAGAAGCCACACAGTCTCTAGTGCTGCCAGCGAGGCTTCAACCTGTGTATGTTTGATATGCTTACCTTCATGTGATCTAGATCCTCCCCTGTGATGTCTTCAGCGTTCTTCTCTACAACTGTAATTCTGTCTTGGAGATTATTATACAGGATCAGTTTCTTCAGAACTTGACGGCAGGGCCAGTTAGTGTCCAGGTAGAAAACCTGGCACAACATAGACAGTTTAATGACTACAGAAACATGTTTTAGAATCTCTTAAACTTACACATGAATAAATGAACATCTCAAAAAGTACAACAAAAACAAAAAGGAAAAAAAAGAACACATGCGTGTGCAGAGAGAGAGAGAAAGAGAGGGGGGAGGGAGCGAGAGAGAGAGAGAGAGAAAGAAAGAGAGAGAGAAAGAGAGAGAGAGAGAGAGAGAGAGAGAGAGAGAGAAGAGAGAGAGAGAGAGAGAGAAAGAGAGAGAGAACTAATGAATAAACTTTTTTTTCAAAGGGTTAACAAAAAATTGGGGGGCATGCATGCCTATCTTACTCTCGGCCATTCCAAACTCCTTTCAAACTGCAACTGTATTTTATCAATACAGCAAAATGCATTAGCTCCCACATACCCACATAAATATTACACACATATATATATTACAGCTATAAACATACGTACATATACACAACTCATCCAATTAAAAAATGATAATGCATTAGGGACAAAGATAGAGAGAGAGACAAGGAAAGAAAGAAAGAAAGGGCAACAAACAAAGAGACAAGATAGAGAGAGAGTCAAGGAAAGAAAGAAAGGGTGACAGACAAAGAGACAAAGATAGAGAGAGAGACAAGGAAAGAAAGAAAGAAAGGGCAACAAACAAAGAGACAAGATAGAGAGAGAGACAAGGAAAGAAAGAAAGGGCAACAAACAAAGAGACAAGATAGAGAGAGAGACAAGGAAAGAAAGAAAGGGCGACAGACAAAGAGACAAGATAGAGAGGGAGACAAGGAAAGAAAGAAAGGGCGACAGACAAAGAGACAAGATAGAGAGAGAGACAAGGAAAGAAAGAAAGAAAGGGCAACAAACAAAGAGACAAGATAGAGAGAGAGACAAGGAAAGAAAGAAAGGGCAACAAACAAAGAGACAAGATAGAGAGAGAGAGACAAGGAAAGAAAGAAAGGGCGACAGACAAAGAGACAAGATAGAGAGAGAGACAAGGAAAGAAAGAAAGGGCAACAAACAAAGAGACAAGATAGAGAGAGAGACAAGGAAAGAAAGAAAGGGCAACAAACAAAGAGACAAGATAGAGAGAGAGACAAGGAAAGAAACAAAGGGTGACAGATAAAGAGACAAGATAGAGAGAGAGAGACAAGGAAAGAAAGAAAGGGCGACAGACAAAGAGACAAGATAGAGAGAGAGACAAGGAAAGAAAGAAAGAAAGGGCAACAAACAAAGAGACAAGATAGAGAGAGCCAGACAGAGAAACTTTCCCTCATGCCTGTGGTCAGAAATCACTGTAAGTGTGATTTAAAAGAAAAGAACCCAGAAACCAACCTTCTTAGCTCCCAGACAGGCAGCAAAAAGAGGCAGCAGACTGCCATCAGATATGACCAGACAGACACTGCTGTCCGTGATGTGCTGAAAAGTAGCAAGGTTTAGCTCATTACATGTCAGTGTCCTTGTTGTTGCTTATGATGGTTTTGTCAAAGTGGTCACTACTATTGTCTGTCAAAGTGGTCACTACTATTGTCTGTCAAAGTGGTCACTTCTATTGTCTGTCAAAGTGATCACTTCTATTGTCTGTCAAAGTGATCACTTCTATTGTCTGTAAAAGTAGTCACTTCTATTGTCTGTCAAAGTTTCACTTCTATTGTCAGTCAAAGTAGTCACTTCTAGTGTCTGTCAAAGTGATCACTTCTATTGTCTGTCAAAGTGATCACTTCTATTGTCTGTCAAAGTAGTCACTTCTAGTGTCTGTCAAAGTGATCACTTCAATTGTCTGTAAAAGTGATCACTTTTATTGTCTGTCAAAGTGATCACTTCTATTGTCTGTAAAAGTGATCACTTTTATTGTCTGTAAAAGTGATCACCTTTATTGTCTGTCAAAGTGATCACTTCTATTGTCTGTAAAAGTGATCACTTCTATTGTCTGTCAAAGTGATCACTTCTATTGTCTGTCAAAGTAGTCACTTCTACTATCTGTCAAAGTGATCACTTCTATTGTATATCAAAGTGATCACTTCTATTGTCTGTCAAAGTGATCACTTCTATTGTCTGTCAAAGTGATCACTTCTATTGTCTGTCAAAGTGATCACTTCTATTGTCTGTAAAATTGATCACTTCTATTGTCTGTCAAAGTGGTCACGTCTATTGTCTGTCAAAGTGATCACTTCTACTGTCTGTCAAAGTGGTCACGTCTATTGTCTGTCAAAGTAATCACTTCTACTGTCTGTCAAAGTGGTCACATCTATTGTCTGTCAAAGTGATCACTTTAACCCTAGCAACCCTAGTGTTTCCCATTTTGTGGTCCTTTGAATTTCTTCTTCTTCTTTACATTCACCAGCTGTAAACTCCAGCAGAAAGTTCTGGTTGTTCATCCACTTCTGGACTGTGGTCTTGTTCCAGAACCTGAGTTTTTCCTCGCCTCTCAGGCAGATGCTCTCCGACATCGAAGCATGATGTGCTTGTTGGAGGGAAGGGGGCAGCGGGTCTATTCTTTGGACCCCAAAATAGGGCCCTGGAACTTACACAGGAGGTGGTCCACTGAATAGGAGTCGGTGATCTCATATGCAAAACATACTAAACTTTAGAATGCAATGCTGTGTGCAGTTTTAATATTTATAAATTATAATACGTTTTCAGTATGATTTTTCTCTTCTCAGCATTCACCGGCTGTAAACTCAAGCAGAAAGTTCTGGCTGTTCATCCACTTCTGCACTTTGACCTGGTTCTAGATCATGAGTGTTGTGTGCATATTTGTTTTATAGATCTGGCTTTTGTATGCAGACTGCTGGTTCCTCGCCTCCGGCAGATGGACTCAGACTAATTAAAAGTATGAAGTCCATAGCAGACGTTCAGGTATTTAAAAAAAAAAACACAAAAAAAGGTTAGTTAGTTAGTTGCGTTATCATCGTTGCACTCCGAACATACAAAAAAAGGTGTTTGGTCTTAGCTAACCGTGTACTGCCCCAACCTGGTACATACCCTCTCTAGAGCCTGGATAAAGATCTGGTTCCTGCTGTGATCGTTGATCTGACCCAACCTGCTTCTACTGACAGCCATATGGAGTCCACACATACATGCTGATCTCTGGCTGTTGGCGAATACATGGGTACAATTACTTGATTTGAGGCAAAGTATATATTTAATGTACTGGGAAGTAAAGGTGGCTGACATGACAGAGTTCGCACACACAAGCTGATCTCAGGCTGTTGGCGAATACATGGGTTCAATTACTTTCCTTCGAAGCAGAGTATATGTACAGGGTATCTCATATATTTTTACAGAGAGAGTGCAAGTATGTATGAAGAGCGGCTGACCGAATGGTTAGAACGCTGGGCTCTCAAGCGAGAGACCCAGGTTCGAATCCTTGGTAAGGCTAGGGATTTCTTCTGTTAGGGGCAAAAACAAATCCTCAAATGTACAGTCGTAAATCCTCAGGCTCAAAGACACCCCCCCCCCCCCACACACGGCAAAAGTGGTGTAAGGAAGGCAGTAAAGGTAAATGGCAAAAATGTATGTGTGTGTATATATGAATATGTGTGGGTGCATATATATGTGGATGCAAGATATGCAAGATTAAGTGTACCTATGTATGTTTGAATGTGAATGACTGTTTATGTATCATTGTATGTTGTATGCACATGAGTGTGTAATACATGTGTGTGTATAAATGTGTGGGTATATTTGAGTGTATTATACAGATGAGTGGTTGTGTAGTATGTGTGTGTGTGTGAGTGTGTGTAAATGTGTGGGTATATTTGAGTGTATTATACAGATGAGTGGTTGTGTAGTATGTGTGTGTGTGTGTGAGTGAATGTGTGGGTATATTTGAGTGTATTATACAGATGAGTGGTTGTGTAGTATGTGAGTGTGTGTGTGAGTGAATGTGTGGGTATATTTGAGTGTATTATACAGATGAGTGGTTGTGTAGTATATGTGTGTGTGTGTGTGTGTGAATGTGTGGGTATATTTGAGTGTATTATACAGATGAGAGGTTGTGTAGTATGTGTGTGTGTGTGTGTGTATAAATGTGTGGGTATATTTGAGTGTATTATACAGATGAGTGGTTGTGTAGTATGTGTGTGTGTGTGTGTGTGTGAGTGAATGTGTGGGTATATTTGAGTGTATTATACAGATGAGAGGTTGTGTAGTATGTGTGTGTGTGTGTGTGAGTGTGTGTGTGTATAAATGTGTGGGTATATTTGAGTGTATTATACAGATGAGTGGTTGTGTAGTATGTGTGTGTGTGTGTGTGTGTGTGTGTGAGTGAATGTGTGGGTATATTTGAGTGTATTATACAGATGAGTGGTTGTGTAGTATGTGTGTGTGTGTGTGTGTGAGTGAATGTGTGGGTATATTTGAGTGTATTATACAGATGAGTGGTTGTGTAGTATGTGTGTGTGTGTGTGTGAGTGAATGTGTGGGTATATTTGAGTGTATTATACAGATGAGTGGTTGTGTAGTATGTGAGTGTGTGTGTGTGTGTGTGAGTGAATGTGTGGGTATATTTGAGTGTATTATACAGATGAGTGGTTGTGTAGTATGTGAGTGTGTGTGTGTGTGTGAGTGAATGTGTGGGTATATTTGAGTGTATTATACAGATGAGTGGTTGTGTAGTATGTGTGTGTGTGTGTGAGTGAATGTGTGGGTATATTTGAATGTATTATACAGATGAGTGGTTGTGTAGTATGTGTGCATGCATGTATTGTATCAACATGTATGTATGTGTGTGTGTGTGTGTGTGTGAGTAGGCATGTGTGTATGCACTTCCCATCCAAGTTTTTTCTTGACGTATGTAACACACATACTGTTATATGAAACTAACATGCTTTATTGATATAATACAATTGCTCTTTGAAAGATGAGTTTCTGGAAGGGCCAAATGTAAGACAGGCAGTCATGCCCAATTTGTGACCCTTTGAAAAAAAAGTTTGTTTGTTCGTCCATATGAAGTCAGTCAGTCAGCCAGCCAGCCAGTCAGTCAGTCAGTAGCCTGTACTTTGCAGAACCCTGCTCCCATAACAACCTTCCAGAAAAGTTCTTGATCACAAGCAAGATGTCCCGCGTCTGATACACCCATCTGGAGATTACCAGCCACATTCTGCACCCGTCTTCTCTTTGGCCTTCCTCTTCCTCTCTTTCTAGGTATATACCCCTGGATTATTGTTCTCACTAAACTTTCGTGATGTTTCAAGTGACCAAAATATTTAAATTTTCGTCCATATGCAGGAAAAATAAAGTTCTTGATGAAAACAATATTTATTCATATATGCTCTACACGAGTACCACTGTTTTGAAAACACATTTCATAGTGCTCCTCCACAAATGAAGAACACGTATAAGCCCAGTCAGGGTTATGCTTGTAATGGCTTTGTTGATGCGTCCAATTCTTCCTATGTAGGGAAACTTATGGGACAACCTGTTTATATGCTGGGAAGTCAAGGCGGCTGACAGGAGACAGTCCCACATATACAGAATGACATCATCATTTGACACTGCGTTCCACATATTTTCATTGCCCTGTTGCATCATATGTTCCACAGAGGTCACAGTGTATTTTTTCATTTGTTTCTTCTTCTCCTGTGTTCACCTTTAAAAGAGTGGTTGGAACACTGTGCTGTGGTTTACAGCTAGGCTGTGATATCTACGCCTCTCCATCCAACAAATTCCATTTCAGCTAACCCCATTTAGTTATCTTTTATGAGACGACTGCCAATGGGTCTGTAATCAGTGATCCAAACACCCCCCCCCCCCCAGGGCCCCACATATAGATACTCACCTGTCGATCTCAACTGTATCAAAACACAAACTGTACTCATCATGGTAACCGTAGATGTCGAAGCTCTCTCCTTCGTGGACAGTCACAGAAGACGAGGGGTAATACAGAGCTTGCATCCAGTGATCTCGCCACTGTGAACATATAGATTCAATCACAAAAACTGCAACAATGTGAGGCCCTTCCTTGCGTTGAGTTAGCTGCATTACAAACCTACAAGTATATCTGATGCCCCAGCTGATGACAGAAACAGTGATGACACATATAAGGTTTATGACAGACTATCAGAACCTTTGACATGACTGACTGGCACTTTTCTGCCTTTCCAGACGACAGCGTCATATTGCGCTATGAGCAGGCATGGGACTCACAGCCCATGGCGATGGTGAGTGTGACTAGCAAGACCCGCCCACATTAAGAAAAGTCTTTCACAATTATAGCCTGGGATTTCAGGACCGCTGTCATCAACATTTCTGTTTAGTGTGTTTTTTCTCAGACGCTCAGCTCTCATCCTTTCTGCAGTCACTTCTTCCTTCATTCTCATTCCCTTTCTGATGTACCTCCACCACACAACAAGGTCCATGGCATTTTGTACATATAAGTCCACCTTAATATCTGTATCATTCATGTCCCGCTTCCACACATCTTTACATCATAGTAGAGGTTGGCCTTGACATCTTCTAGTCATCAATTCACCATAGAGGATGTCCTTAGGGACTGACATCCTCCATTCTCCAGGTGTGACCCAGCCACCTGAACCTTCGTAAACTGAACATTGAGAAACTCAACATAATGATATATATTATACCAATAACTTTGACATAAAAAATAGTTTATTTGCTGTTCCAAGATGTGTCCACTGCATTCTGTCTTTGATCCATCTAGGACGGCACCAAAAAATGTGTCACAAAGGTGGAATATTTGCGATGAAAGGTAAACCTATTTTCTACAGTGTCTCCAAGTTTCATCTTATTCTAGCCACCTGTTTGCATGTAACTAATATTTGTGTATATCATGTTGGCTTGTTCGCGTTAATGTCCAGGAGCTCAGGTATAGAGGACAGTTGGGTTTAGGGCTCAGGTCTGGTGGGGTTAAAGAGGAAGTTTCCCTGCACCGGTTTTTATTCCATATGGGTTGGTCTCTCTCCTCAGAACAGCTAGCTGCCTGCACCAAGTGTATCACACAAAGCACAAACTGATGATTCCAGAGACTCCATGAAAAGAACGTGTGACCTTCAGAGTGCAAGGCAAATGGTTTGACCACTTTGCCATGGAGACCACCAAAAATATCTCCCTGTGTGGATTCTGGGGTCCCATTGTGGGAAAAACATGAACAGACCCACCGTCTCCCCAACAAGCATGTCGTAAAAGTCGACTAACTGGTGGCTTCCTTTGAAGTCTGAGCACATTTGCCCGAGAGGCAAGAAACCAACAGTCTGCATGCAAATGACTTGTGAAACAGATGTTCACGGAACACTCAGTTTTTTTAAACAGGACTAGCATCCAGAAGTGGGCGATCAACCAGAACTTTCCACCGGAGTTTCTTTACAGCAGGTAAACTTGAAGAAGAAGAAAAAGAAAACATGCATATCAAGTACTATGCACAACTTACAGGAATGGGTTCTCCTTTCTCCCGGGTCCAGCTGGGTCCACAGCTGAGCACAATCTCTCCCTGGGGATCCATGATGAGGTCCCACCACATCACAAATGCATCCACACGCCCATTCTGCAGAGCCAGCACTGTTTTTCTACTATGTTCTTTCTTCCGGAGAGCATTGCGGCGACTAAAGTCAAACCTGTTGATAAATAAACATTTCAAGTCAATGGAATGATGCAAATGAGAGGACAACAGCGGCAGTATTACACCAGCATCAAAAGATAATCTAGTTACAGTACAAATGCCCTTAACCATCACTGTCCGGACCAAGACTAGAGTGGATAACCAGACGGATAACAGAAATCTCTTTATACAAACACACACACACAGTAATGTGATTTCACTGTGGTCTTGGGAGAAAATGACAATAAAATCCTTTAAAAGTAATTATACATATAATAGCAGAAGGCATGGTACCAGGAAGGAGGGGCAGGGGCCGACCGACACGAAGATGGGCACAGGATATAATTGACTCATTGAGTATGAAAGTACATGAGGCGGGACAGCTGGCGAGAGACTGAGTTTCTTTCAGGCAGACCGCGATGAGAGACGTTCTGCAAAAGGACCTGCTACATGATGATGATGATGACATATATAGTGTATTTAATTTTACAAAACAAGCAATATAAACTTCAATATAAGAGTAGTAACGTACAGAAATTTATTGTAAAACTATAAACTTATAGAGCTTTAAAATGCATGTCTGGGATGATGACAGATTACAGAAACTGATAGTTAAACGAGTGTAAGTTAATCAAAGTTTTACTCGACAAATCTATTTCAGTGTGTTCTGGGGAGTCATCGTGGTGTGGCAGCTAGACGCCCGCCTGAGTATTGAAAGATCGTGGGTTCAGGTCGAATACGGAGCCTGACTTTTTTTTTTCAAAAATGACTTTGGCTCCCAGGTCAACACAGCCCTGAGTGGGTACCAGGTGCAGTCCTGGGAAGTAAAGGCGGCTGGCGTGATGCTGACCACATCACCTACCAAGTGTCGATTGGTCTATAAAATATAGGTCTAGTCCTATATGCCCAATAAGGCGTGGAAAGGGGTCCTTTACTTTACTGTACATGTGAGTTCTGGGCCCCAATAGGGAAAGGGGGGGAAGGGAGACCAGACCTAATGCCTTCCCAACAAGCATGTCATATAAGGCCACAAATTGGGAATGTTTCTTTAAAAGTTGGGGTGCATCTGCCTGAGAAGCTAAGCCCCAAAAGACTGTTTACATATAAGCCAATGGAATGTGAGTGCAAAACTCAACTACTGGGAGAAGACAAAAGTCCAGAAGTGGATGAACAGCCAGAACTTTCCTACAGCCAATAAACGCCCAGAAGAAGTATTTCAGTTTAAGTGTCATTCACTGATTACGACCGGGACCATCAGTATTGGAACTCTGCGCTGGCTGCTGAAGATGAGGACGGAGCACACATGAGAATGCTCTGGGTGCTGTGATGTCATTATTGAGTCAACTCAACTCACTGTTTTGTGTGACATAATCACCGGGTGATCAAACATGCTGTAGATAGAGACTGAGCCACATAGAAAGAAACCTGATGCCATCAACCACTGTGCCCTTAAAGCTGTCAATCGCACATTCATAACTGCATTCTTATGTTTTTATGAACGTATATCTGTTCAAAAGAATCGTACAAGTGGCAGAGAAAAATGCAACTGCTAAACTGGAAGCCTCAAGTACCAATCTCCTTCAAAGTTGTTTTTTCTAGCCTGCATAAATGTCTCCCAAGTGAACATGAAACTGTTGGGACCCAAGTGCTAATGACACAGTTGAGACCCAAGTGCTAATGACACAGTTGAGACCCAAGTGCTAATGACACAGTTGAGACCCAAGTGCTAATGACACTGTTGGGACCCAAGTGCTTATGACACTGTTGGGACCCAAGTGTTCATTACACTAATTTCAAGAAGATCATTTTATGAAAAGGGTACACTTCAGCAGTTGTATTCAGAATAATGACTTTTCGTGTCCCTTTAGTTTTTTTTTCTTTTTTTGCTTAATAGTTTTAAAAAAAATTATTTATAATTAAACTTCAAAAATTTTTTTTGCATAACAGAATATTACAAGTATAAATGCACCTACCCCATACCCACTCTGGCGTCTGCCTTTGGTGCTGGAGCTCCTGGGTTCAAGCCCCAGTGAAGGCTGGGATTTTTTCACGTAGACTTATAGTAATTTTTCTTGGTCTCTGGGTAGTAAAATCGGATGCTCGTGTGTTTTCTTGCGCATTAAAAGAAATCTCTTGGCAGTTGTAAATTGAAGAGAGTAGCCTAACAGCCTTGCCCGGGCAAAATTTAGAGTTAAAAATCTACCCAAAATATTTTCAGGATCCATGCCGGTGCAGCGGAGTTGGTGCACTGCGCTGAGATTCTTCAGACTCAGGCTTGACTTAGAAGTAGAACGCAGCACTTATGGGTTACACCTGTGTGCCATGATGTTGATCCATTGAATAAACATATGCACTTATTTTCAAAACTGCTTGACGCGATCATAAAACTTCCTTAGTTAAAAAATCACTGGCATGAAGGAAATGAATTACCCAAATACTGACAATTTCTACTAGACCTCAGACCAACAAATCCCCCTACCTGAACACTTCCACAGGTGGGGTCATAAACTGCAGGTGCTCCTCAAGTTCCTCCACCTGAAGGTCATGTAAACTGAGCGCACCTGTACAGTGAGTAAAGCTGTCAGGTGCTGATATAACTGCTCCGTTGGGGAGGGTCACTGGTGGCAGGCTGTTCCACTTCCTTAACAGCTCGCTCTGGACAGCCTGGACGTACATGATGCCTGTAGTGGGTACTGCAACACAGTCTTCCTGTTTTGGGAAGAAATCATGTGGGTACTGAAACAGTCTTCCTGTTTTTGGAAGAAATCATGTGGGTACTGCAACACAGTCTTCCTGTTTTGGGAAGAAATCATGTGGGTACTGCAACAGTCTTCCTGTTTTGGGAAGAAATCATGTGGGTACTGAAACAGTCTTCCTGTTTTTGGAAGAAATCATGTGGGTACTGAAACAGTCTTCCTGTTTTGGGAAGAAATCATGTGGGTACTGAAACAGTCTTCCTGTTTTTGGAAGAAATCATGTGGGTACTGAAACAGTCTTCCTGTTTTTGGAAGAAATCATGTGGGTACTGAAACAGTCTTCCTGTTTTGGGAAGAAATCATGTGGGTACTGAAACAGTCTTCCTGTTTTTGGAAGAAATCATGTGGGTACTGAAACAGTCTTCCTGTTTTGGGAAGAAATCATGTGGGTACTGAAACAGTCTTCCTGTTTTTGGAAGAAATCATGTGGGTACTGAAACAGTCTTTCTGTTTTTGTAAGAAATCATGTGGGTACTGAAACAGTCTTCCTGTTTTTGGAAGAAATCATGTGGGTACTGAAACAGTCTTTCTGTTTTTGTAAGAAATCATGTGGGTACTGAAACAGTCTTTCTGTTTTTGTAAGAAATCATGTGGGTACTGAAACAGTCTTCCTGTTTTGGGAAGAAATCATGTGGGTACTGAAACAGTCTTTCTGTTTTTGTAAGAAATCATGTGGGTACTGAAACAGTCTTTCTGTTTTTGGAAGAAAATAAGTAATAATGTGGGGACGGCAAAGTGGTAATGCAAGGGGTACTGCATATTTATCCTTTGACTACAGCGATTGCACCCCTTGCTCGCTGCCACACTAAAATCGAGAGATTTTTGTGATGAATTTAATTGAAAGAAACAAAAAGGCGAGTTGAGGTCATGCAGAGAAACAAAGGCATAAACACACAGACAGAGAAACAAGAGAGAAGTCTCCAGAAATAATTAACACATAACACGGATTCAAACCTCCATTAGCCGTAAATGAGCATCCGTATAAGACTCAATGGCCCCTTCTCCAATAAGCTCAGTATCAAACAGCTCCGTTACCAGAAGGTTTGCCCTTTCGCCCACATCATCTGTTAAACAAAGAAACGCAAACTGAGTGCCAAGTCCTACAGCAGATATCGAAATGAGAATCAGGTATTTTATATCATTCTGTCTTTATTATAATTTTGTGTCATTTCTTTGCATATCATTTCAGACTCAGATCAACTTTTGGGTGTTGTGTTTTGTTTATCATTGCTGTTCCACTAATGAAGGCTTATTGCTGCAACAACCTTTGATTATTTATTTCCCTGTGTGGGTTTCAGGGCCTCATTGTGGGGGAAAAACAAGAACAGATCCATTGCCTCCCCAACAAGCATGTAGTAGGTGTCGATTGACAGGGAGCTTCCTTTGAAGTCAGACTGCATCTGCCTGAGAGACAATGAACCAACAGTCTGCACACAAATAAGTCAGATCTGTTTAACGAATGTGCAGGTTCTGGAACAAGACCAAAGTCCAGAGGTGGACAAACAACCAGAACTCTCCGCCGGAGTTTACAGCCGGTGAATGCGAAGAAGAGAAAAAAGTTTATTTATTGTTACTGGTTCTGTAAAATTGACACATACTTTATGTGTTTTTTAAAATCCTTTTAGGCTCCTACATTAGATACTGCAGTTATCTATGAAGTTGTGTTATCACAACTGATTTCACTGTACGCTGCCCTTCCCCCCCCCCCCCCCCTCCAACCCAGTGTTGAAAGGAGAAAATGTATTTTATGGAAACAAAAAACAATCAAATAAAGAGATTCTAAAGAGACTTAGACAAAAAAAGATAAGCCACTGAAAGACATTTTTAAAAGGGGACAATTGAAATACTGCAGCCACATTAAATGACATAACATGCTTTTAAAAACCAGAATGGAAGGAAAAGTCGAAAAGAGAGCAAGAGGTAGACAACAATACAAGTGGAATGACAAACAGCAGTCTAAGAAAGTGTGCAACCAGGACAAGAGAAAAGAGCGTGTTGGCGATCCACCGCAGACAGCTTCACTCTAGAGACAGCATCTGATTGATTGATACTCAAATGGAGGAATAAATAGCAAAAGAAGAAGAAGGATTAACCCGAGTTACAACAATAGGATCATACCTAATGACATTTCAGTTGACCTTTTGGGGATGAGTTTAATTTTATCCTTAAACCCGTTGGCCTCTAGGACTTTCTCCGCACACGCTGCCATTGGTAAAAATGCCTGCAAAACATAAGACATGAATTTTTAAAAAGTTAGTTGCGTATCCTTTACAGGACTTTGCAGAACCAACCCCAGCATTTTTTGGCTGTTGTGGTTTTTCTAGGCAAATGTTACTTTCAGTAGTTTGCCACTGCTCCTGAATGGTCAGCTCTTGGTACCGCTGTCAAAACCAACGCACTACATCATTACTCTCTTTATCTGTCAACATCATTTCTCTATGAAATCACATCTTAAGTAAGATGCATACACCTCTGGAGACAAAGAAAGACTGCATAGAATATTCTTTATTTTGTTCAATGCTGCCTGTGCTTAAGCTATTCTAAATTGAACTCCAAAATGAGTTGACATCACAGAACTTGAGGCATTCCCATGTGTGCTCCGTCCTCATCTTCAGCAGCTAGCAGAGTTTCAACACTGATAGTACCAGTCACAATCTGGTTATATGCCCGTCTTGCCTTTCCTCTGAGTGTAGATAGCCGGGAAGACCCTCTGGTTACACCCAGGTGATTCATTCTCTCTAGGCCATAATAATCTTGTTTCTCTACTGATTCTGCTGCTTGTTCCCACAGGATCTTGACATGCATCAGTTCACCACCCAGTGGTGCAGATCCAGCTAATCTGCCTGTTTATTACCCACTACGCCAGCGTGGCCTGGAGAAAAGATCCAAAGTATGCTAACTATCAGTGACCTTCTCTGTGAAGCTTGCCACTCTACTCTGCTGGAAGCATCCCTGTTTAACTTCCCAAAAAAAGCTACATAAGGAAAATAATACCTCACAAGCTGTGACAGTATCAGCACCAGCACTGGCAGCCATCATCGACAGTAATCCCGTCCCCGTGCCAATGTCTAAACTCTTCACTTTCTGTTTCCGTTCCTTCAGAAACTTTACAGCCTGTTTTATTGCCTGGTAATACTTCTCATTCTGAAAAAAAAAAAGGTGACAAATATCTATAAACTTTAAGTGCAAACATTAAACTCTTTTAAGTCCAGGGTTTCCTCGACTTTTGAGCCAGTTCCATTCTGACCAACAGGTAATCAGCCAAACTGGTCACAAGTCAAACTGATATATTTCTGCACTATTTTCATTCAAAAGTGGGTAATAGTGACATTGGTCTCCCCACCGACCACCTACATACACACTAGCTCACTTCTGATTGGTCGACCTTCAGCCTAGCTAACTTCTGATTGGTCGACCTTCAGCCTAGCTAACTTCTGATTGGTTGACTTTGAGCCACGCGACCTTGGGTCATTTCCGAGGTGTGCTCCGCAATGCTGTTGACATTGCATGTTGTATATTTCACCATGCCAGAGAGTTTTAAGACTCCAAAAACATTGACAACTGGATCTAACACACAAATCCTCTAGAGAGTAATGAAACCTATGTTGTCACAGGGAGTCTCTTTCTCGGAATAAAAACGTAAATGCAAGACAACAACAGACCGCCACACCCATGGTAGACTAGTTCAATAAACTTATCAATGGAACTTGACCTACTTTCCGTGGGGAGACCAACGTTTCAATAACCCAAAAGTGTTATAGGAAATTGTATATAAAACACAAATTCAATCTCTGTTTTTTTTTTTACCCTGCTGTGCTCTAAGTATCAGTCCCGGTAACTTTTTGACTCTACCAATGTAGTTATTTTCTTTATTTACTATTTGTATTTTCTTAACTGTGTGTGGTTGTAAGTAAGGATGGTCGTAAGTCAAAGGGAAGGTGCACAACTCTTTAGAACAGAGAGTATTTCAGAAACCACTGGCTGGTATTGACTAATGGCCTTTCCGATAATTAACCACCAACCATCCTGTTCCAGTGCTTGAAGTAACAACCTGTCAGAAGGAGTTACAATTGTAGTGTTTAGTGAAGACACATCCACAACTGCTCCGGTCACCTCCTCAACAGCTGTAAAAAAAACTGATCATACCTGTTCTGTGTTGATTAATGAAATGCCTTGTGTTCTTAGTTCTTCTTTTTCTTTTATCATATCACTGATACCAGGCTTTAGCCTAGTGTCGTAGTTTTTCTGTATTCTCAGTGCGCTTCTCAGGTGGTGGATTTGTTCATATTTTTATAGGTTTTAGCTACACCATTTATCCACATCTTTCTTGGTCTTCCCCTCACCTTCCTCCCAGATTTTCCGCTGTCAAAAAGTCTCATGTGCATTTTTGTCCGGCTGCATGCATTCTCACTAGATGGACAAACCTTGTAATTTTTGTCTGTCAATATTTCTCAGAGATGTGGTTGCAGTTTACCGTTCACATTAAAAGTATGTTTTTAAAATACACACATTTTTAAAAGGAAATGTATTAAAAAAAAATGAGTATTTACCCGGTCTGTATCATGCAGCATGTCACCATAGCCGGACCTTGAAGAAAATAAACATCAAAAATCAAAATGATGTCGGAGCATAGCAAATCATACAGAAGCCAGGCCATTGTGAAACTTCCTACTCCACTTTCACACTTGCTGGACTGACAGGTTCAAAAGGGGCGGCGCTGTCTGGTCTCAAGGCATTGTGTCCGCCTCAAGTCCTAGAGGCTCCACTCCAGGTTCAATCTCCGGCAAGGGCTGGGACTTCTAGTAATTCCCCCTGGTCTCTGGGTAGTGAGATCGGACCCCCAGTGTGCAATGTTGCACACATAAAAAATCCCTTGGCAGTTGGAAATCGAAAAGAATAGCCTAACCACTCCGATTGCAATGATATATAGCTGCTAAGAAATTCATTAACAAACAAAATTATTGCCATAAAATACAAACGTTTAGTCATTTCAGCCCTTTACTTTACAGGGACTCCACTACTACTCCGCTTAGAATTGATCTGCAGGCGTCATTAGGGTATCGTTGGATTGGATATCGTATTCTCTCTATCCAGCTGTGATAGTTTATAAATGAAAAACCCAATTTCAATATGTAAAATTTCACTGGCATTTGATAAAGTCAAGTTTAAGTAGTATTACTTACTATTAGTAAATAATAAATTAAAAATAAATGCATGTTTTTTTTTCAAAATTGTACACTTAAGTGCCAGTACTAAGTTACTAAGTACATTGAGTTACAATACCTCGCTATTTCTTGCAAGTAATCGTAATTTTCGTCTCTAACCACCCAGTCCATTTTGCCGGTGACAGGGTTTGAATGAGACACGAACGTTAAATTTGGGCTCGGTGGTGCTTTCCGCGGCAATTTAGAAACCAAATGCGAATCGGAAAACGTAGAAGTTCCCTTTTCGACGTGATCGCCCGGCTCCGCGGTCGTCGTCTGCTGCTTTTGACCGGTTGCCAGATAGCCCTCCGTTGTTTTACCAGTCATTTCCTTTGAATGAGATGTAAATAGTATATTAAGCAATGAAAGGAAATTGGTGTTGGTAAATTTTCTGGTAGTGTGTTTTATTTTCAAAACATTGAAGCCTAAACTCGAAAACATCCATAAATATTGCGACGCCCACCGAACCTCACGTTTCGTATACCGGAAGTAAACAATCACATTTTTGGACGACAATTTGTCGGGTATTTTTGTAATGTACGATTAAATTAAATTAAAGTAATTGTAAGTTTATATTATGATTACTCATTACAGCTAGTGAATTATTCCTGTTAAAGAGTCTGCACAACTGGGTGGTGAATTGATACATGACAAAGCAGGTGTGGGAACAAGCAACAGAGTCAGTAGAGAAACAAGATTATTATGAACTGGAGTTAATGAGGCATCGTCATCATCATCAGGTGCCTTACCGACTGGCGTGGGCGATCATGCCTCTCCATAATCTGCGATCTCCTGCAGCATGTATCACTTCGTGTGCTGACACACCTCCATGCCATGCGACAAGACTGTCAAGCATCTTTTCTCGTTGTCTACCTCTATCTCTCCTTCCACAGATCTTTCCAGTGGTCACAACATGTTCTATTTTCCCTCTTCTCATAACATGGCCGAAAAATGATGACTGTCTTCTTCTGATGTCTGTGATAAGTTGTCTTTGGGCTCCCGCCTTTTTCAAAACCTCTTGGTTGCTCTTTTTGGCTGTCCAAGGTATTCTAAGCATTCTTCTGTAAAACCACATCTCCGAGGCCTCCAGGAATTGTTTGGCCTGCCTACCTATTGTCCATGATTCACAGCCATATGTTAAAACTGGATGTATGTAGCAAGCAAGAATTATTTTTCTAACTCTCAATGACAAGGATATATTGCACAAGATGTTTTTCATTTTATAAAATGCAGTTTTTGCCTGTCCTATTCTGTTTCTTATCTCAGTTATGCATCTTCCATCTGATGTTATCCATGTGCCCAGATACTTAAATTTCTGTACTTGTCCTAAAATAACACCATCAACTTTTATTACACACTTAGGAATAATTCGTTTTCTTTGATACCACCATTACTTCTGTCTTCCCATTATTTAAACTGAGGCCCATTCTTCCACTTTCTAACACCACAATGTCTATCATTTCATGTAGTTCTTTCTGACTTGTTGCTATCAAGACTGTGTCATCAGCATAACCTGAGGTAGGAGCCTGTCCTACTACAGGGCGCGTCCACCAGGTGGCGGATGGTGGAAAGGCCTCTAGATATAGAGGTTAGCCACGAATATATTGAATAAGTGGCCGTAGACCAAAACAGGTGATGGTCATTGAGAGGAGGCGAGTTAGTTGGTGGGACAGCTAACTCTATAAAATACCTCAAAACTCTACGACATTGCCATCGGCGGGTAAGAGGCGCCATAACCTCTCCCCCTGCTACCTTGCAGGGTAAGTCTCTTTAGACAAAGGCTATTGGAGTCAACCATATACAAACCGGCGGAAGTCAAGGGAAAACCACCACTGTACTATCCCAAGAAAATCATGCCTCAAAGTGAATGAGGCACCTGGGTGTAACCAGAGAGTCTGGCCGGCTCACTACACTGAAAGGAAGGGCAAGACGGACATATAACCAGATGTCACATGTACCATCAGTATTAGAACTCTGCGCTGGAATGCCCCAAGTGCTGTGATGTCAATTCTTGACTCAACTTAACTCCTGTTAGCGATCGCAGGTTATGGAGAGGATTGGTCGCCCATGTCAGTTGGCAGGGCACTTGTTTGTGATGATGGTGGTGGTAGTGGTGGTGATTGTAAAAAGGACACATTATAAAACTAGACCATGTGCAAACTTTAAGATTTCTGTAAGAAAAGATGGGGGCTCTAAGCCCCCCCCCCCCCACACACACACACACACACCCCACCCATGTTTTATGTGTGGCGGTTCGCTTGCTTGCAATCCATCGGCCACCTGGTCCCTTATTTGGCTCGCCGGTAGACGACTTCTTCGCCGGTCAGGACAGTATTTGTGCCTGTCTCCTCTGATCACATCATCACTTCAGGAATCATTTTCAGGGCTCCTGATGAAGTGCAATGTTAATTCATTTTATATGTCGCACAAAGCCTAGTCACAATTATAACCTAGAGCTTCCATTTCGGGGATGATAGTTGAACGTGACAATTTTTGTTCACAGCAAAAGTAGGTGCTACCACCTACTAGCAATCTGTTGCGATTAAAAGTCTATGCATGATTAAATAACCGATACTAATTGTCAAACAATCAAAAAGTTAAAAAGAAAAGAAAATCAATAATTTTCCAAATTATAACTAAAATGGGTTAAATAGAATATTATTAATTAAATTGCTACTACCACCACCACCACCAGAGAGAGAGAGAGAGAGAGAGAGAGAGAGAGAGAGAGAGAGAGAGAGAGAGAGAGAGAGAGATTTGTGGAAGCATTTTTGTCAGACATGAAATGATATTTATGCAGGAATTATTTATTCGAGACTCTCCGGGTCATACCAGTGTGTTGGGAAATGAGCAGGCAGATAGACTGACCGGTTCTGCACCAAATGGCGCTGCAAGGAGTTACCAGGGAATCTGGCCGAAGCTCAAAACTCAAGGAAAGGGCGAGACGTATATACAATCAGACAGTTACTGGTGCCATAGGAAATGCAACTCTTTGCTGCTGAAGATGGGGACGGAGGTGCGGGGTGCGAAGAGTGGTATGATGTCGATTTTTAATTCAACATTCAACACTCTAAAGACTAAAATACTGAGAAACCCATGTGCCAGAAGGTAAGGCAATTGATGACAATATTCATTTCAACAAGTCATCCCCTCGTGGGATACAATTTTTTTTTTTTTTTGAAGCCGGGGACTCTGAATATAGCAAATATGGCCTAGCCATGGAAATAGCCTAACGACTGAAAGGGGTTTTCTGTGACTCTCCACAGGTGATCCTCATCCGCATGGTGGCACTTTATGTCACCTGGTGTTTATCGCTTGTGTGATGTCCTGGTTGGGTACAACTACCTACCTACCAATATTGGTTTCTGCCTCTTCTTCCTCGTCCCCTGATTCCATTGTTGTTCTTCCTAGGATATCGTAGCCGAAAAATAGACACGACAGACAAGAGTCTTAGTTTAAACATTAGAAAAACATAAGTATTTGTAATCAAAAAAGAAGAAAACGAAAAAAAAAAAGATTCAACTGTTTTAAATGTTTTTCTGTGTGTTGGTGGTGATGATATTGGTGGTAGCTGCAGCATATTTAGTAGTAGTAGTAGCAGCAGCAGTAGTAGTAGTAGTAGTTGCAGCAGCAGCAGCCATAGTAGTAGTAAAAGTAGCAGTAGCAGCCGCCGCAGAAGTAGTAGTAGTAGTAGTAGTAGTAGTAGTAGTAGTAGTAGTAGTAGTAGTAGTAGTAGAAGTAGTAGTAGTGATGGTGGTGGTGGTGGTGGTGGTGGTAGTAGTAGTAGTAGTAGTAGCAGCAGCAGTAGTAGTAGTAGTAGTAGTAGTAGTAGTAGTAGTAGTAGTGGTAGTGGTAGTAGTAGTAGTAGTAGTAGTAGTAGTAGTAGTAGTAGTAGTAGTAGTAGTAGTAGTAGTAGTAGTAGTAGTAGTAGTAGTAGTAGCAACAGTAGTAGTAGCAGCAGCAGCTAATAGTATTAGTTTTAGTGATGGTGTTGGTGCTAGACAAGTAGTATTAACAACAGTAATAGTGGTAGTGGTGGTAGAGGTACTAGTAATCATGGAGAAGGCACCACTGGCTTCTTGGATTGTTCTGCCTGAAGAGTGAGCTGTAAATGCCCATGCACTCTTAAGTCCTTGTATAACTGACTCGTCTGTGAAGATCAGCACATCTATCTCATCTTACTACTTCTTCTTCTTCTTTACATCCTCTTTTACCGCTTCGGGTGTCGAGGGGGATAAAAGATCTTGTGTGCTCTTCTGGCTGCTTCAACCATAGACCCATCGTGGTACTGTAGAGTTTCTATGATGTTTTTTTCCCTGTTGTTCTTGGTCTACCTCTTGCTCTACGTCCCTCTCCGCTTTTGATATATGCCTTGTATGGAATAGCATCAGAAGGCATACTCTCCAAGTATGCGAACAATTTGATTTGCTGTCTTTGTAAGTAATTTAGAATTGGTTCTGCGTCGACCTTATCTAGTATGACCTCATTCCTGATTTTATCTCTTTTTGTTGATCCTAGTCTTTCTCAGACACATCATTTCTATGGTTACTGTTCTTTTATATTTTGTTGATAGTGACCACGTCTGGCACTTGTAGCATAGGGTGGGAATAAATATGCTTTGTATGAGATGTATCTATGTGATGATTGGGATTGCCTTATGCTGTAAAAGAGGGGCTATATGTCCCAATACTTGGCCAGCTTTACTGCATCCGAAGTCTATTTCTTCGTCCAATAATATAAGTAAAGCAATATTTTTAAAAGAGACAATGTTTCACTGTCAGATTCATTCTAATCTTCAACGAATGTTGTTCCAAGATATTTAAACTCAGGTGCCAGTTTAATATATGTGTGCTCTAATCATCAGCATCATCATGTAGCAGGTCCTTTGCAGAACTTCGCTCTCATCACAGTCTGCCTGTAAGGAACTCGGTCTCTTGCCAGTTCTCCCCCCTCATGAACTTTCACACTCAAGGAGTCACTTATATCCTGTACCCATCTTTGTGTCGGTCGGCCCCTGCCCCTCCTTCCTGGTACCATGCCTTCTGCTATAATTTTTTTCAATCCGTCGTGGCGCTTGATATGACCAACATATTTCAGCTTTCGAGAAAGGATGCTGTTTATTAGCCAATCTTCCTTGATATTCAGATCTTTTAAGATGTCAATATTTCGTGTGCTCTAATGATATGTTTAAATCCTGCTTCTTTCTTCCTATTGACATTACTTCTGTTTCTTCGATGTTGATTCTCATATTATTTTATTTACATTCTTCATTCATGGATATGAGATGCTGTTGCAAATTCATGGCTGCATCTGCAATCAAGACCCTG